GATTAATTACTCACTCAGCTGTTCACGGATTTCAGCTTTGTTGCCTAACCATCTTCGTGAGATCTTACCTACCTAGTGCCTACCAGCTTGCGAGCAATTCCTCAGACCTAACGAGAATCGCAACTCTGCCTACCTTCACGTATTGTACGGTAGAGACCTGCGACCCCTCATCAATTTCACTGCACCTCATTCCGACTATGACTGAAACCCAACCTAAGCCTAGTGCTGCGAACAAAGACCTGCTTTGGAACAGGGCCGATGTAGGAACAACTCCGCAACCAGCACGAGATTTGCTAGAGAAGTACAGCGGTACACGTCCGGATCGCCTATTAGATCATGTCAAAGAAGTGGTGCGTCTCAATCTCACCGTTTCTTTCAATTGAGTTCGCGGTCGAGGTTGACAGTTCCCATTTCCATGCCCCTGCATCGGCTTATTCGTGTTCCTCCTGTTGGGCATCCACCTCACTCCCCTCTATCCATCAATCGTAACGCACATCAAAGATGACGAGAAGCTTTTGGATCTGGGTTGATGCTTCGGCAAGATATCCGGCGGATAGTCCACGATGGTGCGTTATCCGAGAACATATGTGGCCTACATCTGAACCAGGGATTGATAAATACTGATCACGATATTTTTCTGGACAGAAGAAGGCTGAAAAGCACGTTTGTCAGGGCGGATCTCCTGCAAAACTCGCATACCCTGGCAAGGTTGGAGTGGACGTTTGATATTATTTTCGCCGACTCCCTCTTCCATCTCTTCGACTGGGAGAATCGCAAGGCAGTTCGTCGAGCTGCTACGCAACATGTCAGATTCGTTACTTTTCAGACATCAGCTAGGACACATTGAACCTGGTGTCTACCCATTGGGTTTTGAGACGGGTGAGGTGTAAGGACTGGATGGATCTTCATGGCAATGTGTGTGGGAGCTTGCCGGCGAAGAGACGGATTTTATATAGAAGTGCGGAGCGACAATGGGGGATACGGAGATATCGACGGCTTTCAGGAGGGATGAGGGATGGGGCGTGGGAGGAGCAAATTGATAGAATTTACAATCATACGGGAATGAGGCGAACGGGCCAACAAAACAAGTTCGCTGTTTATGAGTTAGATTTCCTCAACAGAGCAGTGACTACGAACGAAAACCTGGCGCTCTTACACGGGGTTCCCTCGGCTTTGTCAATCCGCTGCTCCACCTTTGTCTCACAGCATGAACCCCAAGTACCTGCTCATTGACTTCGTCCCAACCCTCATTTGCCAGCTGCAGAACCATCCCCTGAATCTTCTTTGCAGACCATTGCCCTCGTCCATTCGAACAGCTTACCTTCTTTGGGAATCGTAGCAAGCAACCGAGCCGCTTCAGCCTTGACCGCCGCGGACTTTCTCGTGCTGACACCTTGAGTCGTATCTTCCAGATCTCCCTTGAGTCTGTCCACGTTCCTGCGAGACATTTCCTCGCGGTCTTCTTCCGTGCCCCACTTTGCAAGCGAATTCCAGTACTGATCAATCTTAGTGTCTGTTCTCAACCCCTCGAGTGATTTACATGCTCGAAACATTACCTTGGGACTTTCCATGACTTTGTCCTGTTCCGTGTGGTTGAGATCGCCGAATGAGTTGAGGACGGCGTTGGTGGACTTCATGTTGGGATTGTCGCCCAGGTTGGCCATTGCGTTTAGGAAAGACGAGGCCGTTCCGTCATGTATCTTACTGGCTATCTTAAATGAGACGATCATCTCTAGTACTCGATAAGGGTCGAACAGGTCCTTGGAGTATGGTTGATCAGGTCCTACTGAAGGGTTGAGAGCCATAGACAACTTGCAGCGGAGAGATATGAAGAGTTTAGGAACGGCGCTCTGCTATCTTCAAGTTTGAACACACAAACTTGTCCACGTTGCGTGTCTCGGGAACGTACTGATTTTCCTTTTTCGTTTCATTCGGTTTGCATGATAATATTGATCAGAAGTTTCCGACGCAGCATACGCCTTGGTTGCGCAGACTTAGCCAGACTAGATGGTGAGCGGCGGTACACATGCCCTTAGTGTCGGCGTGTCTTGTTCGTCCGTTGGATAGCGTGCCGGAAACTGCCCCTGGTCCAGCACTGCGCTCTGGGAACATTATCCAACCAGCATGAGATGGATTGTCTTCTATCATGATCTTGACATCTGTGCTGTTTGTCTGAGCGGCCCCACGCGCACTTCAAGTTAGGCTTGACGCACATAACCTTTCATCCCGTGAACGCAGAATCCATGCCTCGATGCCCTTTTCGCCAACCGCAGGACCACATGAAAGACGAATTACTGCTTCACACTTCCTGGTACCCGAGCAAATCGAACCTCAGTATAAATATTCGATTTCGGCAAGATGAGAGCCAGGTGGCTGGCCTCCCGAGAGGAAAATGACAAGTCATCATTCGTAGGAGCTCTTGCTGGCGCTCTGTAGTTATCCTTTTTTGCAAGTCATGCAGGTACTATCTGGCAATTTCGCGATTTGCGATCATGCGAAGCGGGAAACCGGAATTCGTCTGCCATGTTGGGATGTGAATGTTGAATAGGCTTCCGAGCTGAAGATCTGGGGCAAGATAATGCAAAGAGCTAGAGAGAGAGGGCTGAAGCTGTTTGACGCTGCAGTACGGCCTACAGTTGTGGTACGATTACCATATCTCGGACAAAGCCATCACTGACATCAAGATTCCATTGTCCATTTCGGAGCGATGATCGAAACCTGCCTTGTTCAATTCAAATAAAGGATGGTTGGCGTGCATGAACAACAGGTAGTTTCAATCGAGTGGAAATGAGGATGAAGAATCACTGGGGTAAGCCATTCCATTTGCACGGAGGGATATATCTTCAGCGCAGACTAGAACATTTGCTGCTCCACGGTCGCGCTCTCATCGTTTCAATGTGAGTCTACTACTTGAGATTCCGGTACGCTTTGCATATTGGAATGTCGTGAAAGACGTATCGCAGAAAGAAATAGAGCAACACAGAGCTAGATGAGAAAAATAATTGTGAACCGCTCTAATTATACAACAGCACTGCTATTTCTTTATGGACATCGCTTCGCTTGACCACTAACATACTTATAGACTTAACACACCTCCTGAGGTTGACAGAAATCTAATAAGCATTCGAATACCAGACCCCACAAGTCGTATCCCAAACGAGCGCTTGTCCACGAAGTATGTCCCACTTCTTGCGCTTGTTAACAATCGACATCAGAACACTACGAAACGCTCCGCAACGCTTGAGTTCCTTGAAGAGCCTATCTTTCCTGATTCTTCGAAATCGACCGGTCAGGCGGAGTTTGCAAGTACTGAGAAGAACCAGCGGCGAACTGGTTGTAAAGGCGGCATTCCCTGAAGCGCATGGTCTGAAGAGATAACGCGACCTCCGCAATTGGCCATTCGGTTCCGAGTCCATCGAAGAACCCTTGCGACAGTCCTAGCTGGGTCTGAAGCAAATTTCGTGCCGCCGTCGCTCTTTCCATGCTGCCTTGCTCCAACCGAGTTGCTGCCGTGTTCCAGTCCCTCCGCCACTGTAGCCATTGCGCTTCGAGGGTTGTATTGCCCTGTGTGTTTAGTGTTCCTTGGACGACGTCCCACTCTTTTCGCCACAGGCGGTAGCGCCACGCAGGTTCATCTTCTTCCTCGTCCTCATCGTCGACATTTTTCCCTTTTTGGGTGAGGACGAAAAGCTCGCATCGACAGTAAGGGCAAGAATTCTGGCTACTGTTCTCCGGGGAAAGCCGTATTGTGATGCACCTTGAGCCAATTAAGTGACCGCAGAATAGACGGACGGCTTTCTCGGCAGCTCAGCTCTGTTCTCGGAAAGGGTAGCGCCGTATGCCTCCATACAAATCATGCAACTTTCGTCTTCCCGTAATTCGATTGTGACAAGCTGAGTTAAGAAAGCCCCAGCCATACTGATAGGCAAGGAGTTCAATCTACCGCTTGGTTGAGGATAAGGCTTGGGTCAATGATGCGTTGCAAGAGTTGCCTACGTGGGTTTGTGGTGCTAGAGATATGATTCCTTATCTCTCAGATTAATTCACGGTCAAAGGTGCGTGAGTGCTCCGCGGCCCAGCAAATAGGAGCTGAGGCATAGCAGCAGACTAGAGCACCAGACTAGGCTGCATGGTAGATGCGGGACTGATTGAGGTGGGGGCACAATTTCTGATTTCGACTCCGCTCCAAAAATTCCGCTGGCTTTGCGAATGATACCGGATCAGAGTGTTTCACACCCTTCAATCCAAACATTCTTGGGAACACATTGGTAAGCTTGGAGCAGGGTGAATCCTTTTCGAGCTTATTGCGTCCAGAATCCAGCAGCGCGTTCTTCTCTCGTGAGAAGAGGCGCTGTAGCGGTTGCTGCGGCCGGAGTTCCCCCTGCGCTGTGGGATGTACCTTTCCACATGCATGTTTCGTGGATGAGAACGCCTTGGGCAGTCGTGTGGATAGTTGGGGAGTGAAAGCTTTGCAAAATGCAGCGCATGCCAGCCGTAAGGCTTTTGAGACTGCGAGAAAGGGATGAGATGTTGTAGAGTATTCGCTTGCGTCTATTGACTTTTCTCTGGGTATTGGGAGTTGCTCAAAGGACTGCTGTACACTAAGGCTTGGCGCTGACTAGTGCTGTCTCGCGTAACGTCCCATGAAAACTACACGCACAAATGAGTTCTAAATGATGATTGGCTGAGTCCTAAGGCCCAGCCGCACGCAGACAGCGGTCCACTATACAACTCAGCCCTAGGAAAACTCCCTCTACGTAAGATAGAAGACCTAAAGTCTAAGTACAAGAAAACGCTAAAAAACAAGGCGCGGGTGGGTGGGAAAAGACCAAAAAACCTCTTCTTACGACGAGAGGAACAAGAATGAGAAGTAAGAAACGGGGGGGATACCGCCTATTCAAGGCTCTTCCAACATAGCAATCTCGGCTATCCTACCATAAGCGTGTGCTATACCTCTCCCTTACTAGCCCCTAGTCAAGCTATAGCGACTAGTACTATCTCGCGTAACGTCCTATGAAAACTACACGCACAAATAAGTTCTAAATGATAATTGGCTGGGTTCTAAGGCCTAGCCGTACGCAGATAGCGGTCCACTATACAGCTTAGCCCTAGAAAAACTCCTAAAATAGACTCACACCTGACGGGAACCTATTAGCTCTAAGCTATATAAGGACGCTAAAAACGACGTAATACGGCGAGAATATAGGCCGGGTGCGTTTCGATATATAGGCGGTACGAATCAGACTTCCAACGACCAAGTAGTTAAATCTCATTATCGATTAGACCGGCGTCCCTCGCGGAGATAGCGACCCCCTATAGAAAGAGTGTTCTGAGTAGTAATCTAGGTAACCGAGTATATATAAAGTACTACATAACGTAGCGATAATGTACTATCTTATAAAGGCCTTATTTAGATTAAATAACGGCGATAATCCATTAATAGAGAAGCGAGTAAATAAATTTCGTAGCGAATAAATAGAGTAGACGTTATTATTTATAGCGGTAATAGATAGCGTAATTCTTCTTCTAAATAGATCCGTTTTCGAGAACGATAGAGATAGCTTTATATAATAACTATAGAGCGTAACTAAACGTCTTATAATATACTATCGTTCAAAGTCGCTATTCTCGAATTTAGCTTAAGACTATATAAATTCGCTTATATAAAGAAATATAGTAAATATAAGATAAAAGAAAGTATATAAGGTGACTCCCTCTAGAGAAGTCTTATCGAATTAGATAAGAATATAAAATAATAGATCTCGCGTAATTAGACGATATTCTTTAATATCGATCTCGCTATATAGTCTACGAATATTAATAATTACTCGCTATAATAGTAAGTAGTAAAAAACCTCGAGATTCTCGAATTCTATATTTATATAAACTAATCGAACGCTTATAAGATAGGCCTTAATAGATTTAATCTAAATATAATAATCGGCTAGATGTACTATCTAGTTGATAAATAACTAAATAGTAGCGGAAAACGCGATAATTCTTAATAAGGCACAAAACTCGATATAGAAGGCCTTCGCCGTTTAATAACTACTTCTTATTTTATTAACTAGATTCTATTAGAGATATCTTATAATATTATAATTTAGAGAAGTCTTCTTATACTATAATTTAAATAAATCGCGGCTTAATAAATTCTATATAGACTGAGAGCGCTTAACTATAAATATAAATTGGTAATTCTATTAAATTTGAAGCGAGAGAGTAAGTTAACTAAAGTATTTCACTTAGTAGAAATTTAAATTATATTATAAACGATATTATATTAAGCGAATAATATAATTATTTACCTAAGCGATACCATAACTAGCTTACATATAGAACTACTACGGATATTTTTAATAATAATATTATTATTATAGTAGAGTGTAAGATATAATTAATATAAGCGAGGTAGTTATCTACGAATAGTTATAAAGACGATAAGTATCTCTTTAAATTAAATATTCTTCTTGCGATAGCGGATAGCGAAGTATATATTAAATATATCGTCTAGTTTAGAATAAACGGCGATATTCTTAAGAATATATCCTTCTATTTTAAACTTATTAAAAGCGTTTATCTATATAAAATAGTAATAACGTATAGCTATACGTCGAAGTAGATATATTTTATTTTATCTAAATAAAAAGATATTTTATTAGCGTAGGTTCGCTATAATTACGATAATAATATAATAATATTCTTATTTTTTAAATAATACGAAGTAGAGCCTTCTTAGAAAAGTCTTATTAGAAATTATTACTTTAATAAAGAAGAATAGTAAATCTATCGCTAACTTAAGCTCGTTATAAGAAATACTCTATCTATTTAAAAGGGCTTTTATTAACTTTCTTATCTATTTTAACTTATCGAGAGAAAGTCTAATCTTTATCTTCTCGCTATCGAACTTAATTCTTAAAAATTTAATTTAAATACCTTTCTTATTCTTAATATAATTTATCTTTAAATTATAATTATTATAAACGATATTAAAGTTATCGTTAAATTAAGTTATATCGCTATTAGATGAAAGAATAGCGAAGAAATCGTTTAGATAGTAGAAAATAATACTCTAGAATAGAATAATAACGAGTATTTAATAAAGGACCTTAGCGAATAGATTAAAAATAAAGAATATAGTACGTAAATTAAATAATAAGAACTTATCGATATAATAGAAGCTATCTTAAAAGAAACTTAATAGCTAAAAGTTTAACTCGGCTATAGAGATGTGTCTAAATACGTCGACGAGATCTTATTTAATTATGATTACACTCTGGCTCTAAGTGAGTAGAGTATCGATAGTATTATTTAATATGATATACTCGAGTGCTTCGTAGGCCTCGTGAATGTAGTAGTTGACGGAGTATAGCTGTGAGAAGAAAAGATCGTAAATCCTTCTCTAGCTATCGTTATGCTTCGAGATAAGGTCTAATAAAGATAAAATGAAGTATTTCGAGAGTTTCACGTCTAACCTTATTAAACGGTCATTATCCTCCTACTTTTAGAAGTCTTTAAATAGTATTTCGAGTGCTATAGCGATACTAGAGTGAGGTTTACTTAATAGTAACTAATTAAGGTCTTAATAGTTTATTTTAATATCGCGGGCGATAATTATAAGTAAGATATTAACGAATATCTAATCGAGGTAATTCTTAAGCTATTTCTTTTAGTCGTCTTTCTTTAATAGGCTACGTCTCTTTAGTAGAGGCTTATTTAGCGAGATAAGCATATATAGAAATAACTCGACTATCGACTTAAGATCTCTTAATATTAGTTATAGTCGAGAAATAGAAGAAAATCTTATATCTAGCGAGGTAATATTAGCGAAGATTTCGTTAATATAGCTAATAATAGAATATAATTAATTATATATATTATATATATATAGATAGCGATAACCTCGAGCGTTATAGAGTTTATTGCGATTGAATCAATTATAGTAGAACGATTAAGGGTTTTAGATATTCTAGTAAGAAGATATAGAAGTAGTATTACGATATATCTAGGGTAAAGCTTAACTTAGACGTAAATTATACGATAGATACGCTCTCGATTAAGTCTATAAAAGTCGCTATTTTAAGATTTAATTTTTAAGATAATTATTGAGTATTCGCTATATATAGATATTATCTTAATAAAGCTAAATTCTATTATAAATAAAGATCTCGTGGAAATAGTATATTAATTAAAAGGTATAGGTAGTTAATAGATTAGAAATATAATAGCGATAGTTTAATAGAACTTCTTAAAGGGGTAGGGTAACTATTTTATAGATAAAGAAATATATAATTTGACTATAGACCTCGAAGTATCGAAGAAGCTCTTTAAGTTTCTTAGTCTTCTTATTATCGTTAGCGAGATAGTTAATAAAGCTATTAAATAGCTTATTAAGATATTTAATATCGAATATCTTATAATAAATTTATTTAATATATTTCAGATCTACCGCTTTAAAACGAAGAAGAAGGGGGGTTATTATAGGGTTATTACCTTGATATAAGAAGGAGCGACGTGGCACTACTTCCGTCTTAGATAATGTTGGCGTTCTCTACTACGGCAGGGTTAAAGTTGATTATAAGGCCTAAAGAGGTATAGGTGATAGTTAGGGAGGTGATATGAATAGGAATGGCTGATAGGCCGATGGCATAGGGGCTTAAAGTATAAGCTGGTATATAATAGAGGCAGTTGACTGGCGACGGGTACGGATCTTATTAACCTCGCTTTATATACGGGCGAGTTCATCACGGTCCTAAAGTATATTGTTTTCGTCGGCCTATTTCCGTTCGAGTTTTTGACGGGCGAATTATAATTAAATAATATAGGGATTGAGAACCGGCTCTGACGGAGTGAGCGGTCCTACTGAAGGACCTGGCTGGTGGACAGAAGATATAGCGAGGATAGAAGGGGGTAAGGGTCCATCAGAGGGCCCTCTTATGGGTCCAGTGGGCGGTCCTGAAGGTGGTGCAATCATAATCAAACGAGACCTCGCCGACGCATTCAGATACATCCCCATAGCCGAGTCGAACTTTTAACTACTGGGTTTCTTTTAGAATAGCTTCTATTACATTGATAGGTTCTTACTATTTAACCTACGCACCGCGCCCTTTATTTTCAATCTATTCGCTAAGACTCTTTATTAAATACTCGTTATTATCCTCTTCTAAAGTATTATTTTTTACTATCTAGACGACTTCTTCGCTATTCTTCTACTTAACGGCGATATAAATTAATTTAATAACGACTTTAATATCGTTTACGATAACTATAATTTAAAGATAAATTATATTAAGAATAAGAAAGATATTCGAGTCGAATTTTTAGAAATTAAGTTTAATAGCGAGAAGATAAAGATTAGACTCTCTTTCGATAAGTTAAAAAGAGCGAGAAAGTCGATAAAAGCTCTTTTAAATAAACGAAGTATTTCTTATAACGAGCTTAAGTTAACGATAAATCTACTATTCTTCTTCGTTAAAGTGGTAATCTCTAATAAGACTTTTCTAAGAAGACTCTACTTTATACTATTTAAAAAATAAGAATATTATTATATTACCGCCGTAATCGTAGCGGATCTACGCTAATAGAATATCTTTTTATTTAAATAGAATAAGATACGTCTACTTCGGCGTATAGCCGTATATTATTACTATTTTATATAAATAAACGCTTCTAATAAGCTCGGAATAGGAGGGTATATCCTCGAGGATATCGCCGCTCATCTTGAACTAGACGATACGTTTAGTATACACTTCGCTACCCGCTACCGCAAGAAGGATATTCAATTTAAAGAGATGCTTGCCGTTCTTGTGGCCATCCGTAGATGGCTATCTCGCTTACACCAGTTACACCTTACGCTTTACTGTGATAACGGCGCCGTCGTCGAGGGTATTAGTAGTAGTTCTATGCGTGGGCCAGCCATGGCACCGCTGAGAAGATGCTATTCTTAGGCTCTGTGCAGCTGGAAACTTTAGCCTTCCGGCGCCCATGAGCGACAAAGTCATGCACGTCATTTAATATCTTTTTATCGACATCTACCTAATCAAGAAATCTCACAATACCTGCCCTCGCCACAAAGAACTGTTTGAGAAAAGGAATCTTCAGTAATGGCCAAGAGTGGACCTTTGATTACTCTCGAAGAGCACTTCTTCTCCGAAACCACTCGTGCATGGGCCTCTGATGCAGCTCCGACCGCTATCCAACACTTTCCTCCTCCAATCACCACCAAGCTATCGAATCTCGGTGATGAACGACTCAAAGACATGGACGCTGGCTCGGTGACTCTGCAGGTGATATCCCACGGCCCCACGAACGGCTCGGCGCCCAGCGAGATCTGCCGCAAAGCCAACGATGAGCTCAAGTCCGCGGTGGAAGGGAGCAAAGGGCGCTTTGCGGGCTTCGCCATGGTTCCCATGAACGAGCCTGCCGCTGCCGCCGAGGAATTGGAGCGTTGTGTCAAGACCCTGGGATTCGTGGGGGCGCTGGTCAACAACCATGAGAAAGGTCGCTTTTACGATGACACTTTCTTCTGGCCCGTCTTTTCCCAATGCCAAGCCCTCGACGTGCCCATCTATCTGCACCCGACAATCCCGGGCCCGGCAATGGCGAAAGGCTCCGGCAACTATCCCGAGATCGTAGCGCAAGGTCTCGACAGCTACTGCTGGGGCTGGCATTCGGAAACCGGGGTGCACATACTGCGCCTCTTTGCCAGCGGCTTGTTCGACAAGTATCCCACGCTGAAGATCATCATTGGACACATGGGCGAGATGCTGCCGTACATGCTAGATCGCATCATACGCTTCGCCAAGAAGCAATGGCCGGAGCGGCAGCGAGATCTACAGACCGTGTGGGATCAGAACATCTATATCACCACCGCTGGCATGTTTTCTGTGCCCCCTATGGCGTGTCTGCTGAGAGTCTGTAAGATTGAGCACATTCTCTACAGCGTTGACTATCCATTCTCGAGCAACGAGGAAGGGAAAGACTTTATGGATGAACTTGGGAGGAGTGGGCTATGTTCGAACGAGGAGATGGACAAGGTTGCCTATGGAAACGCGCAGGAGTTGCTTGGTGTTAAGGCTATGCAGTAGATTTTTTGTAGATGGAAAGTCCAGTAGGTACACAGAAAGAGAACAGTAAGAAGGCCAGACCAAACGCCCCCTACACATTGAATCTGAAATAGCATTTTCCCTAGCAGACTAACATTCGCCAGCATATACGAATGTCGCACTTGCGATCAATGTGACAGTAACCTCTTCACCAGCCCCAGTCAAACTGCGTGATCCTGGCATTAGTATCAAATTCGATGTCTTCGTCCGTTTCCTCCTCCATATAATCGTCTGAACTCCCTGTATCGCTTTCATCCGATGCGTACCCAACGTGCATCGATCCTGGAACATTGGCAGAAAGCTTTTGTGCGAGCTGATAGATGATTTCCAAGTTCCCCAGGTATTTAGCATACGACTCAGGCGACATCCGCGCCACAGCCCTGATCTTCAGTCGCAGGTCCTTCGCTTCCGCTTCGTTGAGCATCTCCTTCTTTTGCGCAAGGGTGAAGAAGTGTGCCATTGCACTATCAATGTTAGGATCTGCGATCCAGCTGAAAGAGTCAGGTAGGCCCAAGGCCCGAAGTCTCGATGTGTTGTTCCGAGGACGTTTTTGTTCCTGTGACTGACGCTGAGATGCGGCTGCCTCCAGCCGAGCCTCGATTTCTGCGGCGGCATTTTGACTTTTAGCCTCATATTCTTGAAGCCGAGTAGGCTCCGAGGACGCTTCGGATACCCCTGAAGTGTGCGAAACTTGGCCTGCCATCAAATCTCTGGCCGCCTTGAACAGTCTTGAGAACAGAAAAGGCCAAAAGACCTCTTGGCCCTTGTGTTGGGGTGTGTACGGTGGTGGTGACGATGCATGTTCTTCCACACTAGCGATTAATTCAGCCTCCCATGGAAACGCCTTCGGTGTGCTGCAGAAGCGCAACATGTCATCACATGGTAAAACCGTCACAAGCTCACATTGAAGCCTTTCCCAGTCCTCCAGATTCGAGTATATGTTCATCAAAGAGTACCTAACGCTCAGATCCGCGAAGGAATTGAGAAACCGCGCATATCTAACCGATTCATCACCTTGGTCAGCACGAAGACGTTTGTAGATTTTGCTAACGCTTGAGACAAGATGAAGGCTCCATTCACGTTGACAAAGATCCAGAGGCCAGATGTGGGAATCACCAATGCGCGAAGTCTTCCACCGTTGCCTAGGGTCGGACGTCACTTGGGCAACCAGGAGAGTGATTGCCCATATGTAGTCGAGCGGAGTAATGAGATGTCTATCTACTTTGTTCTTGCTTTTGGAGATAACGTCCCTTCCAAAGCTACCGGAAATGTAACTACTACGGGACAAAGCATGTATACCTGCCCGGTCTCTTTGCAGAACAGTTGACTGTCGCGCTTTTATCCTCATAGATAAGCACTCGGTAATCACAGTGGAAAAGACGTTCTGCAAATCCAGGAAGTACCTCGGGCCTCGGTATTCCCAAAGCAGTTCCGCTATGAGACACATATAAGCCGCTTTCTCATCAAAATCAAGGGGACCTAGTTCGTCAGAGGACAGCTTCTGCTTCATATCGAACCACTTCTGAGTCGCAAACTCCTCTGGCGTCATGACTCTTAAAAGGCGACGCACGATCACCGAATTAGTCCTGCGTAGCAGGGTCGATGAAGGTTCCATGGAGGAGAATAGACGTCGAAGACTCTCAAGAAGACGGTATCTTATGTGCCGGCGCTGTTCCTCTCGATTCGGGTTTTCTTTTGCAATATCGGTTGTTGCAACGGCAAGCTGTTCAGCATTTGTGTGATTGAGAGTATCACATACCTCAACAACAGAGCTTGCCAGCAGCATGAGAAAATCGTCCGGGCGTTCCTCCAGTGAAATTTTGAAACGCAGCGTCTCAAATGTGTCTGCCATCTTGCTGACTGGGGTTAGGTGGTTTCTTTGCCTCAGGTCCCCTCGGAGCCACAAAACGACCCTGCGAAGAAAATATCCCAATGGCATTTGGTCGTGAGATAGCCTGCTGATAACCAATTTAATGATACGATCCAAATCTTTCGATAGTGCAGTGGATATGTCGAACGGATTGAGTAAATGCCTCGAGAAGCCAGCCAGAAAGCAGACCTCGCACAGCATAAAACATTCCACGGGGATGGTAGCAGCATGCATTGCATAATCACCAAGATTGGCGAGTACTACTCTAATATGATGGGAGACCTGATTGATCCGAGGGAAAATGGTTTCTGGAATGGACGTTGGGTGATAATCCAGCCAAATGACCATCTCTGTAGGTAGATACTGATACAAAACGAGAGCAGCGACAACTTATCCGCGATTTCTCGAAACCCTGTTTCTATCTCGTCCGCGTTCCGCGCAGAAACCCAAAAAGTTGATGCACTAGGCTTTCTGATTTTTCGATCATAGACGAATCTGGTCGCAGGTTGTGTCTTCCTAGTGATATTGAATGGGTAGCGGAGCTTCACTATCAAAAACACACGAATTTACCCAACCCCTCCGAGACCATGGACTGCCACGATGGGATATGTCGTGCATACATCGTAGTCCTGAGCGCTCAGACAGTCTTCCAGTAGTTGCATTTGTTCTGTGCGCCCTACGAAATTGGGGTTTGGAGAGACTGGTACTATGAAATGCCCAGGTACGACCGTAGTTGTAGAATTCGTCACTACTGCTCAACTGTAAGCAACGACAACGACTAGTATAATAACTCATTATCTTGCGCCTGATCAGCCTTGGTGATTTGAGCCGAGCATCGCTTTATCTGTGCTAGCACTGGTAGAAAAAGCGAATCAGTTTGACTTTGGAATTTACAAATTCGTCGGTGCGTGGCATCAATCGGAATCAGCACTTCATTTTCCAGTCCCAGCTTGGATGAGGTTTCGTCCACGATCTTCATATTTTCAGTTAGCTTGCATATCCGAAGAATGAAAACGTACCAAAGAATTCAAGCCAGGGGTCTTTCTTCTTTCGTAGAAGTTGATTATGTCGAAAGAAGAGTGGATCTCCTGGAATCCGTTTGACAACCGAGTCAATACATCGGAGTCATGTTTGAGTGTTTCAAGGAGCTGTTGCGACGGACTTTGAAACGCTAAGGATGCAACATGCGATAATAGAGATCCTATATTTGCGCTCTTGCTACCTCCGTGAGGTGTTGCCAGAAAAAGAATGGATCGTGTAGCAACTCTTATGCTATGATATCGTTCATAATCTGCATGAGCAGAGACAAGTGCCTGCATTGAGTCTTAGGGGGAGTATATATCAGGTTCAAAAGAGGCTTCTACCTGCTTCACCACGATACCCCCCAATGAATGGCATATATAATCGAAGGCCGTGATTCAACCTAAATTATAAGTATTGACCCCAAAGAAGAGAGCATGACGGACTTGGTCTGCCCTATCGTCTATGATCCGCTGTAAGAGATCGTGTGCAAAGTCCTTAACACTGCTCACAGAGGTGTTGGAACCCAGCAACGCGGAGTTGTAGCCATAGACCAAAATTCGTGCGTTTTTGACATTACCTGGAAGGAAGTCTGGAAGCCACATAGCCTCGAAACCGGATTGTCCATCTTCGTGGTGAGCCCAAGTCCCGTAGGCGTGACCGTTGAGACCGTGAACGGCGATGATGCTGCTCGGTTAGTGATCAGCACGTTCACGAAAGGCTATGAATGCATGCTCGATGGTGTCGTGGCCAAGCCTTACTCAAGCATTGGATCTTCCGGTGCCGCTAGCACTGCAAGACCCATGAACCCTCGTTCTATGCTGACATTGCGACCGGCCAGCAATCTCCCGTTCAAATTCAAGGCCTTTTTTGCGCTTGATTGGGATTGGAAGGTGACCGTCGCAACTAGCGAAGAGTCCTTGGCAGATCCGTGTGAACAGAGAGATATATTCGACGTCGCATTTACATTCTGGCGATCAAGGAAGCTGTGAAGCCGGCTCACTCCCAAGCTAGGGGATAGGTTCGATACCCGTACCGTTGCCAAATCCTTCGGCTGCATCGTGGATCAATCAATGTCATTTCAGGGAAAACGTGAATAAGTGCCTACTGGGAAATATTGAAGAGATGAGGTTGAAGTGCGACGAGGCTGCCTACCCTGCTACCTCAGAACGATATGCGCGCGGAACCCGAGCGCTAACTTGATCTAATTTGCCAAGACTATTTCCGTCGCTGCAGAATCCTTCATGCATGACCTGGCTTTGTTTCAATAAGAGAGTCGTCAATTCAGTTGAGTGCTGCATACTTGATCGAAAAGGATACTTTCTGGGCACGGACGTTGGCACGCCCAGAAATTGCTGGGTTTTGGGGTCGATAATTCAGCAAAACTCCTCGCTTCAATATGGAACAAGCCCATTGCGAGAACGTAAGCTAATTCACCTTCCACTAGTCTTTTCCACCCTTCTGCTTATTCTGAAGCCCCACTATCGTGGTGAACCCATAGGGCACCCCTGGATACTCCCAAAGTCTTGTCAGCACTTCAACCATGTTCAAAGCCTCTGCATACGCAATACCCTCGTCTCTCAGGCAGTCTTATTTAGGAGCAGACGTCACCTGCGGTGAAAGGCCTTTCAACCTCCTCAACAAAGGCGACGTGAAATCATTGCTGCCCTCAGATGTGTTGGGCGAATAGCAGTCCCACAACAAGCTGTGAGAAATAATGGATCCTTCATCTGCAGGTCTGATTTGTATTCATGCAATCCTTCTAGCGAGTGCAGCGGATGGCAAACAATCAACATGTTCAAAACTGGTCCACTGATCTTCAGATTATCAGCACGTGCCATAAGGGATGCAGCAGCCGCCACGTTCGCTTGTGAGCTCGACCCGGGAGTCTTGGAAGCATGTTGGAGTATGAGCAGTAATTCATGCTGATGACGCAAACGTTCGAAGTCTGCAGAATGGGCCATAGGAGGTACACTTCCTTGGCGAGATAATTGCCACTTATCCAGACACCACCATGGATGATGAAGAGCAGTGGCGATTTCGCGCTCGATGTCGCGAGTTAAGGTGGGAATGGTCATCCCCTGATTTGACGGTTTCGTGATGCGCTATGGAGTCATATCTAGTGACAGGGACTTTTGCTGCCTACTGTTTGCTCTGGACCTGGAATCCAACGCGGGTGGTTACAGGGTTGAAAGATGCCCTGATTCTTTCCAAGCCATCGGTTTCTGCCTCGATGCCATGCGATGAATCTTGCTGGGGGGCGGTCCAGTCAGGAGAAGACTTGAATCAATCACTATTTTTGAGAGCCATGATCGGTGTCTTTCAGATCTGCTGCTTTCGGAAAACTACATGAAGTCTGCTCAGGTCAACGTGCTACAGCAGTCTTAGACGCTCTTTACGCTGGTACCTGTTGCTTATGTGCATGTGGACCGCCGCGTCGGTGTTGCTGGCTGTCATCCTCACATTAGTGATACTATACGCCATACCATCGTTTCCTTGCAGGCAACCTCAACTCGTATTCTCCAAAATTTCCTGCAGCTTCTAGCGGCTGGATTGATAATAGGCGCCAGCAGAATGCCCGGGAGGATGCCGTTTCGCGCAACGGTTACCCAGAAGAGACGCTGGTTCTACCTACAGGTTGCTCACGGATCGTAGGGTTTCTATTCGTTACTGTTCAGACGTCAGTCTTCTTTGGAGGTGATCATTGTGATGGTAGTACGACCATCTTAACCGCTACACCAGAGTTTCCAGAAAGTCTATTCCGAGCCCGGGTTTAATGCCCGGTACCTGCAGACTTGAATACCCACATTTATAGGTGTCGCAACGTTTCAAAATTCTCAAGAGTAGACAATCAATGATTATACGACTTATCATGAGCTCAACGCTTTAGATATTCGTTTCGTTGAATGGTAAAGTAGTTTAGAATTTTAGTCTTGACGCCAAATCCCCGCGAAGAGTACGCGAAAATCGCTGAGTTTCGACTTGAACTTTTCAGTTCAGATGTAATTCACGAATACGAGGATTTTGGACACATTGTAAAGGACCAAATACCTATGTTGCGATTATAAAATATCTTTGAAATGGTTGATTATACCGTAGTGTACCTAGTCGTAAAGCGAAGGTCAATTTAGTGGGGACTCTGCCAAACGGGAAACTCTACTCGTGCTGTCCAGGAGTGAGTTACCTCGCTTAATAGCGCCGGGAGAGTTGACCAATCAAACTACGATTTTTGTAAAGTAGAGTAGTGGCTAGCTTTGAGTGCGAGAGTGCCCACGGTAACGTGGTGACTCCACCAATCTCAACTTTTGGATTGTCCTGCAAATCTTCTCCAAAAACAATGCCAATCGAGGCCGATAGCTATGTTGGAGACGGACAGCTTGAAAAAGAATCGGCCCCCCGAAGAACTTCGTTGAAAGGCGATGAATGGTCGTCTTCTCGCCATGCGATCCTCGGTGACCGATCTTGGGCGAGAATCCAGTCACCTGGTCTCTCTGTAATAGAGAGGCTCAATGGCTCTGAATAGAAAACCAGAGCCCTTTTAGCTTTCTCCAGAGCTGCTACGCTTCAGCCCTCAACTACCACGCACAATACAGCTCCGAATCATGCCTCTCGTACCAGAAGAAATCTCGTTCTCAGGCAAGTACGCACACCTCTGCATCCTCTAACCTCTCCTGCTGACAGCTCTACACAGACTACCTAGGCCTTAATGCCGCACTCTTCGAATGGGCCGAAAGCTATGACTCCAAAGCTCGTCTCCCTCTCCATGTCCTCTACAAGTCCACTAACCCATCCACCAGAATTGGGCCCGCCTCCGCGCCTGCGTCGCCCCAACCATGCGCATCGACTACCGCTCCTTCCTTGACAAATTATGGGAAGCCCTTCCCGCAGACGAATACGTAGCCATGGCCTCCGACCCACATGTTCTCGGTGATCCTCTGCTCAAAACCCAGCATTTCATCGGCTCGTCGAAATGGGAGAAAGTGTCGGATACCGAAGCCATCGGATGGCATCAGTTGCGGGTTCCGCATCAGAGATACACAGATGAGACGAAGACCGCGGTCGCAGTGAAGGGCCATGCACACGGCACGAACCAGCATTGGTACAAGAAGGTAGATGGAAAGTGGAAGTTCGCTGGACTGGCGGTGGAAATCAAGTGGGGCGAGTTTGATCTGGACAAAGTGTTTGCGAGTGGCAGGGATACGTTTGGGGAGTCGGAGAAGGAGAAGATGATGGATGAGGCGGCCGTCATGACTGGGATTCCAGGAGACGCTGCCAACCCACCAACTCCTGAGTCAATGGACATGGAGACGAAGCCTGTCGCTGCTCAAGGGGCCGCGGAGCCTACTATGGAGCAGGCTTCATATCCTAGTGTGATTGGCAATACGAGTGGAATGAGAGACTTGGCTGAGTCGGCGAAGACGCCTATGGCTTATGAAGATCAGGTTGAAGGAAGTATGGTCGGGGCGCCCATGGTCTACGAAGGTGAGATCAAGGGAGGTATGGTTGCGGTATGAAGGGTGTGTCTACTTGTCTGAGCGTAATCTACACCCACGATCACAATGAGAGCCTCTTCCCAACGCCGTCGAGGCTCCATAACTCCTCGCGCCTAATGTCTAGAGCGTTTAGATTGATTCTCCGCCAGTCGCTCAAACACGCTGATTGCATGAAACTGTCATCATCCCCGTGATATCCCGCTGTGAAAATGTCCCCTCGGCATAATTGATGACCGATCACGGGCCAAATGATAATCTTACGCCACCGCCCTCCTCGTCACCAGCTGCGGCAATTTTAAATCACCGCGAGGGTAAGTCTAACCCTGCCACAGAGCCGACAACGACCTACCTACCCCACCCCTCCACGCACGAACTTCTCCGTGCACCGGAGACTCAAAAAGCCAGCGTTAGTGATGATCACGGATAACGTGGTGTCGTTGCCGCGCGTAACGTACCTTACATTACATTATACATTTCCAGGCGACCGAGACCTGCATATTCCCCCGGCCGGCCACGTCTTGCACTAAAGTAGCGGGACGAATCCTTCAACGCCGTGAATGCCTTCCTTCATCAATGGATGATAAATAATCAGGGAACGTCGACTGGAAATCCTTAAGATGTTTCCCTGTCGTTCACGTCAACGAGGGATCTTCGACCAGGAGCGTCCCGGGCCGGACATATTCGCTTCGGTTGTCCCGAAAGGGCAATGCGTCAACAGGAACGTTGAGGGTGATAGGTAACCGTAGCGGACCAGTGTTGGCATGATGATCATAGACTAGGGGACTGGGTGCGAATATGCAGGTCATGGTCGATCGTTTCCAATCTAGCTCGGAAAGACGATGTGCCTCCAATGCAGGTACCCGTGCCTAATGTTCAGAGGCGCGCGAATCGAGTCCACCCGTGGTGAAATCGTGTGCATCATATTCTTGCTCTTTGCAACGGTATCCGAGCTCTGCATGTTCGACCATTGCATCATATGCTCCAAATTTTAGATATCGGTGATATATATATCCGATTCTTCCCCCGTGCAAGCACACTCATCCCACAAACCCCACAACTCCACACGCAGGGCCAAATCAAGCCCACCCTAAGCACTCTTACTACCACCCCATCCCCCAGAATCAAAATGCGTACCTCGATCCTCCTCACAACCCTCGCCTCCATCCCCTCCCTCCTCGCTCTCCGAGCACCAAGTCTCTATCCCCGCACCTACACAGACATCAGCGCGAACGCCAGCTACTGCCCCGGACACCCGGCGCCCGAATACATCCAACGCCAAATCTTCGACGGCTTCGTCAACCAGCTCTACGGCGAAAAAGACGTCATTGGCGCCTTCAACAAGTACATCGCTCTCAACTTGACCGAGCATGACCCCTTTGATGCGCAGGGCAGGATTGCGAACGAGGAGAAGTTGTCGTACAGTGAGTGAAAAAAAATAGCATCCTACCTCGCCTGACAAAAAATGGTGGATGTCCGAATGGCGGGGAAACTGGAAAGGCTGACTCCGAGTCCTGCTTGCAGTCATTCCTTATGTGCCCTCCATAGTCCTCCGCCACAGCTTCGACAACAACATCGGCTTCATCCACGTGCGTGTCAACGAGGCGAACGAGGAGCCAATTGCGCTGGCGGATATCTACAGGATGGATGGGACGTGCCTTGTTGAGCATTGGGACGTGACGCAGTCGAGGCCCGCCAACGCCACGAACCCTATTGCGATGTTCTAGGGGCGGCTGAAAGGAGACAGAACGGGACGAGGGAATGAAAATGACGATGTGGCATTTGCGGAAAGTAACGAGATTGTGACAGGCGTACGGACTGGAAGATCTTTTGAAAACGATGATAGAGACAATCGTAGAAGTACATAGGCAATGAAGAAACATACTTTGCCCTATGGCATGTCGCAAGGCGCCAGAACGAGAGAGAAGCCAACCTTGACATTTTCAACCACATCGTTCTCAGTACCCTCCCCCACCTGCACTAAACCCCTTTGAACTCGCTGCAGCACCAATTTTCGGTCAACTACTTCTACTCCTCCTTCTCCTCGCCTCCAGCATCGTTAGTCCGGTCACGACAACCTCGTCCGCCAAAACCCCACTCACGAATGGTACTAATTCAAACTTTCCATCCTTCTGTAACGCCCACATGCTATTCTCATACCTTGCACACACCTTATCGTGTTGATCCAAACATATCATGTCGCCCCCGTTAAAGAGGTTGTCCGACTTCCACTTAAAGCACATCCTTCTCCCATCTGTTGTAGTGGCCAAACTGGTCCATTCGTGAGCGCTAGTAAAGATGCTCGAGGCAGAGAGGGCAATGGGGTTGTTGTGGATAACCATCTCAATGTCTCTAGAGAAGGAGTGGAAGGTGGCCGTACCGACAACGGTACCGGTGTTGGCTTTGTAGACTATTACATCTGGCATGGAGCCAAAGAGACCTCCGGTATTCATTTTAACCGTGTAAAGGACGGTAACTTTGTCGGGGCCGAGAATTTGGGTATTGTGGTGCGTCATACCTGAATGGTAGACGTGCAGGAGACGGGAGGACGAGGGTGGATCGGCTGATGCTGTGTACGAGGGAGGAGCTGCTGTCGAGGCAGGGCTGAAGGTATAGGGAGGAGCGCCCGTGGAAGGAAGGGGTGCTGTCCAGCGAGGGTTTTCTGTGTATGGCGGCGTTCCTTCATAGGGGGTAGCTGGCTGCGCTTGAGGAACGGCTTGTCCCCCGATGTTGTTGGGGTACAAAGAGGGAGGGCTTCCTGTGTGGGCAAGAGCTGGCTGCCCATAGGGTACAATTTGGCCTCTCATGTTGTTAGGATACCGAGTGGGTGGAAGTCCTGTAGATGGTAGCTCTTTGGTGACGGCTTGCGACATGGTGTTGCAGAAAAGCTTCAGACTAAGGATACTAATTGTAGAGAAGAGAAGTTTGAGGTTAGTTGCGACGAGAAGCGAAACGACGTTTCATGCATGCATGCATGGAAGATGGAAGGGATGAAAGAGAAGGAGCGACGGCTCTAGGATCTGAAGCAGGTATGAACCGTTGGAAGGATTGAGCGCATTACTCTCATCAGCGACCAGAAAAAGGAATGCTATCGTAAGACTTGAGACTATGCTGTGGTGCCGTTGCGGGGCTCCGCAGGCGCAGATCCTCGGATGTGGAGGCGCAGTCCAAACTGCAAAACTCCTCTGAATGAGCGATGACATCGAGAACACCTCGCTCACATCACATGTTTGTACTCCATCAATGGTGACTACAACAATGCAACGTGAGCGTGGTACTAACTGAAGATGCACTCAACCCGTTTGATCCTAGCCTAGCGAGAGAGATGAGTCTCGGAGTTCCTGCGCAAAATGTGGAAATCCTTCGAGGCAACTTAGCCGGACCAATCCCAGCCACAGCGCCTAGGTAGATGTTCTGCAATGATATTAAGCAACGACAATGAAAGCACGGAATGCGAGAACCCCAGTACCTGGCAGTATCTGGGAGCGCGCAAATCAAGTAGAGAGTATTATGCAATCTGCTGCCTCGTCAGTCCTGACGAATGCGATGAGGCAGCGATTGAGTTCGCATATTCGATTGGCGACTGCCTCCACTGCTCACACTGTCTAATAAATAGGTCGTATCTCAAGCCTAGAGCAGCGTTGGCTCATTCTCGAGAGAATAGATTCTAATTACGTTGCGTGATTTCTGGCGACAGCAGTATTGGCGCACATCTATTTCACGAGCACCATGCATGCCATATGTGGCAACATTTGTGCTTCTCTCTCTCTTTCTCTGCTTTCGAGCCTTCGCATGTTTGAAGATCTACTGCTTATACTGCATTTGAGCCCTCAATGCTATCTCGCGCTTTGATCATCTGCTTCGCCTTTTCTCTACTAGTCACTACATTTGCCATCCCTACAGAACGCATTCCAACTGTTGGAACGTCAAAGGATGCAAACCCACCGACCTTCTCACCTCCAACCTTATCAATAGTCATTTCAACAAACAATCTCACGATCAACGCGACCTGGCGCCCAGTATGTATACCCGAACACCCGGGCCGGGACCCCACAAAAGAAGCCAGCCGGATCACTCACCCAGCGGACTGCTATCAGGCCGTCCACAACATGTTCATCGAAGGATCTGACCGCGAGCTACTGGTGTGGGATAGGCAACGAATATGGGAATATGGAAGCTGTGGCCTGTGGCTTGTGCCCAGGCAGGGGCTGCCAATACACCGTGACACTTTCTCTAGAAGTGAAATTGCATATTCTGCGGAGAGCGTTCGGCAGGAATGTGTGAATGCAGAACACGGGTATAGAGGGGGACTCGTACGGATAGCCGCGGGCGTCTTTCAAGTCGGGATATCTGGACCAGTCGAGCCATCGTTAGGGAAATGGAAGGAGGGCACCATGTTGAATGCGACAGCTTTGGAGAAGAGAGCTGAAACCCTCTAAGTGGAACACTCTTGGGTCCAGCGATCTTTCTCAAAAAAATTCAAGATGAGGACAGCGAAGTGAAAGAGGCGGAAATGTAAATAAAGCTTTTTCGCTGCTTCAGAATTGCTGGTACGGTTGCTGCTTTGTACGAACCTTTTCGATTCAACTCAATTCCGGGCCAGCTTTCAATTTTATCCGGCTGTCTTATATGCATTCTCCGTGTCGTACTGCTGGTTCTAGGGCAATGCAATTTGCGCCGGCAGAACCCGACCGGAGAGCAACACAGCCACGTGAAACCAAAAACACTCTTGCTTAAAGCTCGTTGCTGATATTCTAACACTACGAAAGATAGCGCTCGTATGTTTTCCCAAGGAACTAGTTCCATGTCCTTGCCAACTTCCCGGCTTTCTCTCTTCATATCTGGCAGCCTATTTAAATCCACGAATCCTGTCGTCTCTCGATCACTACACATGGAAATGGAAATGCAAGTCCATTTCTACATTACCGTTGGTGGTGCCTGGAAAATCAGTCAACAATAACGCCCACATACCCACTCCCGAAGACCGAGAGACAGAGAAGACGCACCAAGTCCCGTTGCGTTCCCAGTGTATCCTCCCTCCACATACCTGAATACGATCACATCTGTTTCTTCCAGGAACAGTCATCAACTCATCGATTCCGTTGATCGATTGTCGAAAACTTGCACAACACCCTATCATGCCCTGTTCACACACCAGATCAATCATCTTGTAACCTCACAAAGCCGATCAACACCACGAGAACTGTACTTCTACCACCAAGGAACCCACCAGGCGACCCGACCGCAACCCCCGGAGTTGAGTGCGGTCCCAAAACACGTGCTGCCTGCGTCGCATCCGTATCTTCCACAAAAGCACCGCAGCGATGGCGGATTCAACCCCTGCTGGCAACCGTAGGCGAAGGATCAGGTGCTTACGGGCAGACAGAATCGGGACAACGGTTGGATCTCATCACGATGGCGAGGTGGTTATCCCCTCCTGTGGTCGTCAGCTTCTCTTCGACCTAAAGTCCCTTACTGTTCGAACGCACCGTTCTGCCATGTGCTGAGACCTCACTATCGATGGGACGCTCGTATCTCTGAGCACAGCTGCTCAGTTAGTGGTTGGCTCGAAAAGAATTCCGCTCAAAAGCGTCAGCGCGGGCTCAAATTGGCAGACTGCAGACTTAGTTGGTATAACAATGGGAGAATTTGGGTCGGGAGGATTGTTTGGACCCTTTACTACCAATTTTCCATCGCCAAGACAAGGTAGTCATTCAATGGGGGCTGTCAATGGTACGAGTAGCGGTGTGCAAGACTCTGAAGGTAATTCCGCGCGTTTGAAAGACCACTCCCTGTGGAGTAGAATGGCTGTTTCATCATTTGCAATGTCTGTTCTGGCGTTTGTACGCTAGATATTGATTTGTACGTTGCTATTTCCTACCCTTATAGACCCTAATAGCAAAGCAGCGATATCGACATTGTCAGCCCGTAACGCTGCATCAAGGATACAACAAGCGTAGATTGCCGACAAGATCCTTATGCGAGGCTAGAACCATCATACTCCTCGTCAGATCCGCCTCTCTTTGATCACACCTGAACACAGACCCCACGACTCATGTCTTCGCACTTGATACCATAGCGCAAAATCACGAGACTGTTGACAGGTGTAGAGTCAGCACAAGCGCTGACGATTACAAGCAATCTAGCGCAGTATGTTCCTCATTCGAACCGTGGTCTTAGCTCCAAGCCAGAATTCCAATACAACAGAACCTGCACCCATTCACGAATTTGAAAATGTCTGAGTTGACATCCCCACTAGACGCATCGTTGCTGCTTGAAAGGTGTTGCGCAGCTTCTTCGAATTCCTGCACACTTTCGAATAACATATCAGTTACTCGGTTGACGGCAGCTGGAAGAATTGTCGGTCTTGTGGGAAGGGCAGGGGAACAAGGCTCTCGATACCGCCATGTGCCTGGGTAGAGCATGGTCGTGTCTTAGCAAGGCCACAGAACTCTGAACAATAGAGGCTAAGGTACAGGATGAGCTTACAATCTCTTTCTTCAGCGACGGTAAGTCGTTGACGCTGATGGACAATCGTCGTCGTTAGTACCAGTCAACATTAGGCTTGAGAGCGATGGCATTGATGTCCCTACGATGAGTTGATCATGTTGGTACGGCTCCAAAGCAATCTCATGTTCGGACTCTCCATGATGGAGCGCGGAAGCTGCATGCCGCCCCACGCATATCTGGAACCAATTCAGCTGCTACATTCGCAAATTTCGCAGATCTTCTTGTCAGCTATCCGGAGATTGAAGCTTGACGTACTCATTGACAGCCAGACACACGCGCACCGCGCTGGTACCGAGACGACATTCCCAGTATTCCACGACTGATGGTTTTGTTGAGCTCAAGCGCAAAATTTGCTCCCGCTCCGTCGTCTCGATAAAGATCCCCATCCCAGATGAAACTCTCTCGCGCTGTTCTATCCACAAAAAATCAGTACTCGATGCCAGAAGCGGCGGAAGGATCTTTGTACCGATGTTGTATGCATCGCGTATTGCCTCTCCGACGATTTTCAAACTCCCTGTGATTGGAGAAGGTATCTCGCAGGGTCTGTCGCAGGAAATCCCCATGCAATCTCGAGCGTAGCGGAGGGTCTCGGCGCGATTATCCTGTGAGCGCTCGAAATCATTCCCCAAGCATCCATTGTCCGAATCAATCTCTATCATGAATTCTCATTAATACTGCGTGTCACGCCACTTTCATTTGGCAGTGCTTACTGTCGTCCCAGAAGAATATCGAGAAATGGTCTTTCTATCAGTATCGTCATCTGCAGCAACGATTGTCAGAGGACGTACCCAAGTTGCAAGGTAAGTGAAAATTCTCAAACGTTCCATACTTGCCTGCGGCCACCATACTGCGCCAAACAGTGCAAAGTCTGCAGATTTTAGGGACTATAGTATGAGATTTGCTGTGGCCCTTCGTGCTATCAATCCGTATCAGTCCTGTCAGCCGGTTATGATGACTTCTCTATAGACAGGTATCGCACCGTACCTTTCAAGCCAAGCTTCCACATCCTGGCGTAGCGTGTCAAGGTTGGGACTGATCCTGCGAGGCCAACCACTGAGCTTCGCCTTCAGGTCGGCTATGGCGATTTTCTGGCTCCGTAATGAAGCTAGAACCGCCTCTCGGTCGTACGGACTCATATTTAAGGAAATGTCAAGGATTTGCTAGAGATGTTAAAATCAATTCCACTGTGGGAAAGCGGATTCTAGATTTGCGAACTGTTGCTGGGGCCACGTTAGCATACAATGGCATAAATAATTCTCCATGATACATGCCAAAGTTGCTGTGCTTTCAGGAAATCTTGCAGAAAAAGGGGTCTAAGGACTCAATAAGTGTTGGAGGTTTTCTTCGATGCATTTCCAAGACAGTCCAGGTCCAACCACTACTTGAATAATTAAAAAGTGTTAAAGATATTCTTCGATGCAGGTTTAATTTGCTATGTGTTATAGATCTTATGCAGAAAACGGCTCTGACTACTCCTTTCATAGTTAAAAAATATTTAAGAATCTCTTCGGTGCAAGTTAAAGTTGCTATGTATCAAAGCACTTTCGCAGAATAACCGACTCGAACGCTGCTTTGAGAGTTGAAAAAGGTTGAAGATATACATGCTAGAGTTGCTACGTGTTAATGTAATTAGGCAGTTAACGGGCCCAACTGCTGCTTTCGAGAATTGAAAAGTGTTAAGAAATTCTTCGCTGTAGGTCAGAATCTCTGCTCCTTTGTTTCTTTGACCTGTTCGGTAGGGTCATTTTTTAGGTATCTAGTAGAGAGGGCGACAAGAGTCCGCTTTTGTAAAGACAAAAGACTTCTAACCTCCAAAATGTGAAAATTTGCTCGCATGTACAATCGCCTGCAGCTCGTGAAATCCTCCGTCGTCGCGTTCGGCTCTGGCGGTTCCGGATTTCCATCATCATTATTACCCGATCTACGAGGATAGCCCGCAATCCAATCTTGGGCAAGGCCTGCATACCTCGTACCTCATCTAGGCAACAATACTTCCCAGTGGTTGCATACAGGGTTGTGCTTGCTACAGGTTATGCCGTAGAATTGACCCGACGTGAATGGAAATTGAGTTAGCTCGTTCCCCAGAACAAATTAACCGAGAATTGCCCGGAAATTTTTCTTTGTGCCTCTCTGCCAGCATCTCTTTCTCTTTATCATCTCCAGTCATCCCAGCAACAGCAACGAAGGACCTGTCATATCTAGATAAACTATATCTATGAGATTTTCATACCTACTAATTGACTAGCACTTAAGATCGAATAGGGAATTAGAATCTCAAGTTGAAAACGCGAGGCCAGATGTGGCCGCGAGCGTTGACCAATGCATGTTTCGGTCACTCCATGATTCTTACGCCAGATTGATTGAGTTCCATTGCAGCGCGCTCACACCAATCTAGCGGCGCATTTAAGCGCTGACATGCGGTCTCGCTAATCTCACGTCGAATCGGTAACCATAAATCGATGATGATTATCACGAACAATGCCATTGCCCCAGTGCCATCTATCTCGGTAGGCTCAAAGTGGCTCCGCGATTCTGCCACCGATAGAACCCGTCGAATGTCTGGATACAACGCATACGTCTGAGACTTCTGCTGTGGCTGCGGAAGGTAGGGAGATTGCTTCTTGACTATTCCTCGCGCCGCGGCGGATGGAACCAATTTGCTTGAACCGATTGACCGCATTGTCTGTTCGTTCAATGACCATGCCAAAGGAAAGCCTTTATACTATCTACATGAGCAAGCGGACTTGCTTCAGTCATTACGATGTGGTAGTGCCAATATCCCTTGATCCTTGGCCTATTTTAGGGATCGACGAGATCACCGAAACCTGCATGACCGAATGCGGATAGCTTCAAAATCCGCGCAACGAGGAATTCGGTCATCGAGAATTATCCCACGGGTCTAACGCGATATTCCCTTTTAGGGAGCACGAAATTCACGTTGCAGTTCGTACCTGCGTAATCATCATTAGACATGAAATCAAACCGTCCTTCGGTGAGCGTTGCTGCACGTATAACACCAGCATTAAATAGCAATGCGCATCTTCGCGTTCCTGTGTTCTTAACACTTTGACACACATTGCTGCACTTTGGGTGCACGCCGTTTCCTTGCCTACCTTCGAAAACCCACTCACTTTAATTCAAAACCGCAACTACAATGCTTTCCTTAATCGCCGCAGCGGTGTGTCTCATCGGCAGCGTCCTGACCCAAACACCCCCCAGCTATACTTTAGCCGTCACCAACCAGACATTAGGCCTATCATACGGCAGCGTCTCCGTAGAAGCCGGCGAGACTCTCCCCTACAAAGGTCAGTACCCCCCTCCCATTCCCATTCCCGTGTCCACTTCCACTTCCCTACTAACCCTCAAACCCAGTCCCCTCAACCACCCCCACCCTCAGCAGCACCCTCGGCCTCAACGAAACCTACATCGCGATCATAGTCGATACGACCGCGAACCTGAGCTCCCCAATCCCCGCCGACCTGGTCTGGTTCCAACAAGACGTCACCTTCTCCTCCGCCGGCATCGGCAGCGCAAACACCAGCGCCCAAGTCCCCTACGTCGCCCCTTCGTCCGTCGGCCACGCCTACCTCGCCCTCCTCTACACGCAACCGCCCGGCTTCATCATCCCGTCCAATTTCCCCTACAACGACACCTTCCGCGTCGCGTTCAACGTGAGCAGGGTGGCGGTGGATTTCCACTCCCCGCTGCTCGCGGCCAACTGGTTCGTCCTCGGGAGCAATTGTTCGGCGCCGAGTCACACGGCGTCCTCCGGGTATGGGTATGGGGCGAGCACGGGGTTCGCGTCGGGGACGCACGGGCCGTGGGCAAAGAAGACGGGCGCGGTGTATGCCAATGGGGCTGCGGGGAGGTATTGAAGGTGAGATTGCGGGAGGAGAGGTCTGAGGATGGGGGTAATGAAGCGTGAATGGAAACAGTAGGGTGTGCAAAAAGGCGTTGGTGTGCCTAAAGCAGATAGAGCAAAGGACAAACACCATGTCCCAGTCTTGGCACAGGAAATCAATAGACCTGAGCTTTTGCAATACTACCTAACCCATCTGCTCTGATCCGGAATACCCTGGTGACTACGAGACGCGCTCCGCATATCTCAAATCAAATCCTGAACCCCAACACCTCCGCCAGTCGACCCTGCACATCCTCATCCCAGCCGAACATCTTCCCACCTCATCTGCGCTCCACAACCTTCCTCCAAAATCCCAACACCGACAGCACTCAAACCCCTTTCTCAAACAAGCTCACCGCTCAGTCCCGACCAACGAAACTGATCACAAAAACTCCCGACCGTACGTAAGATTCGACACGGGCCACTGGACCGATAACAGTCACGCCATCGAGATGTTCCCATTTGGACCTACAGTCGTCAACGGCATATCCAACAACGAGTTACAAGCCGAACGGAACATCTCGTCCTTACAACTCCAGAAATACCAACATCCGATACAGTGGTGGTCAGGATTACCCGGTCATGTCGAATCGTCAAGAGTGACATGTTTTCCGACACGGAGGTCTGAGTGACTGACTACCTTACATAACACGTATCGTATGCGTTGCGGAGCCCGTCTACGGGTTGCACAGAAGGCCTACAGGTTCACTCTTATCCGGGAAAGGAGAAGGCTTCGGTATATGAGATTTGTGTTCGCGTTCGGGGTAGGTGATGGAGAAGGAGGCGGCACAGCAGCCTCGTGTCGCGGTTATCTCGTTGGTTGAGGTGGGTAGGGAGGTAGGTAGGGGGTGAGCAGAGCATATCTTGTTTTCACCGCGTAAGAGGGGGTGAATCGTATATATCGTATATGTACTAGTACATACGTCCATCCATCCATACATACATCTATCTATCGGCGCACCCGAATGATGTACTCGAGAACAACGGCTTGACGGCGAGCTATGTGAAAGGAAGAAGCGAAAGTGTGAAGAGAGTACGGGAACCACCATGCATGCACACCAAGCTGCTTCTCTCGGCTGGGTAGACCTCGTGCTCGGTTCCCACATGCAACGTTAGAAATGTTCTGGTTAAGAGTTGGAGCATGTAAATAGGCACAGGCAGAGAGGCCAGACGACGGAACCATCGTCTCACGTAGAGAAATCACAAGTCAACATCCCCGGGGCGCCATTCCCCGGCGAGCCCAACTCCTTCGCCTTTTCAATGTCATTCACTGCGTTATCCGCCTTGTCCGCCGCCGCCACCGCATCCATGAAGTAGCACCCGAGGCTATTCGTACCCGGGTCTATGATGATCATCGCATGGCCACAGGGACAACTCGGATCGGTTAACAAATCACACCAGCAGTCAGCGTCACCGCCGGTGCTGTTGATCGCAGTGCACATGTCCTGGATGGCTGCGTTCGGCCTCTCACAGATCCACATCAAAAACATGGCTTCGATGGGCGTGAGGTCCCCGACCGATTCCGTGTTGTCGCCTTCGGCGATACACTGTCCGTCGCTGCCGTTGAACAAGTGATGGCCCATGACCCAGCCTCGGCCTTCGCCGTTGGGGGTCTCGGTTGGGTTGCCGTTCGAGTCAACGCCCGAGGTCCAGGTGGTGCTGAGCCAGGCCGTGTCGTGGGCGTTTTGGGCGAGGCCGGGACTCCATGCGTAGTCAGTGAGGGTGTCGTTCCATGTCTTACGCAAATTGCTCATTTTGTCGAGGGCTGAGGCGCCGGAGGATCCAGTGCAGGGAGGTGAGTACCATGCGTCCCCGTCGGTGGGGTTGCAGGCGCCGCTGGTGGTGCCGGTGGTGGTATCGCTGCCTGAGGATTTGGGGGCGGAGGAGGAAGAGGAGGCGGGGGGTGAGTCGACTGGGCTGGCCTGTATGACTACGGGGGCGGGTGGAGTAGAGGAGACGACGGGCGATGTGATGACTGGGGAAGGAGCTTCGGGAGCAGCGGCCGCACTTGTCATAGGGAATGAAGGGCGCTCATGCAGCTTCCCTGCCTCGCCTGCCCAAGAGTAATGACCTCCCTGAGGAAAGGCGTAATCTGCCTTGACCTGAACGGCGGCGGCGGAGGTTGGAGCAAGAGGAGGTGCGGTCCCAACCACCTTGTTCTCGTTGATGAACTCTTGGACGAGAGTGTGAGGACCTTCTTGCCACTGGGAGTACAAGACGACGTCTTTCTTCTCGTGGAGGTGTGCATGCTTGTGTTGAGGGAAAGCAAGGGCGCCAGCGCCGAGGAAGGTTGAAATGAGGACTGAGGTATGCATTTTGACGTCGTTCAGGGTACTTGTCAAGTGGGTGAAGTTGGGATCGCGAGTTTGTGTATGTTTTGCTTCCTAAGACAACCGAAGCAGCCGATAAAATGCAAGTTTTGAAGGTGTAAAAGTGGTCTGTAGCCTTACAAAGTATGTACTTTTGAAAGAATGATTGTGGCAAGAACCAAGCTCGCAAAGGGCAGAAGTGAATGAATGAGTGACTGTCTGTCCAAGCAGATGAAAGAACGAAATCTGCTTTTAACAACGAAGAAAAGAAAGTAAAGGGTCGATAGAGAAGTGGAGAGAAAAAAACACAAGAGGAAGACTCAGGAGTTACCGAGTGGATGGCAGTTGGGAGTGAGTGGAGCGGGGCTATAAGATGGGAGGGGCTTCATCTAACTAACGCAAGGCTCACCCAGCACCAATAAATTCTTTCTGTGTTTCAGCGTTTCACAAACCCCTTGATCGATGCAAGGAAATAGACGCCGAGCTTCTGCCATGGCCGGTGAAAAACTATCGTATTTGATTGTATTTACGCAATCGAATCCCCTGGATGCAGGGAGCCAGGGACTTGCTCGGCGAGGACGGTCTCTCTTGCCTGAAATCGGTGATCCTGCATGCTCGATGCTGATAAAAGTGAAACATGAGCCTTGCTTCCTTCAATCATAGTATCAAGGGGGCTCAATCACACTGACGCCGTAAAAAGATTTTGATGACTTTTCGCTTGGCGATTCATGGTTGAGGGCGAAGGATAGGGGGTGGCATAGAAGTTGAAGCAAAGATGGAAAGTCGTCGTAATCGCAATCCCCACGCAGGATGATCGCCCCTGTTTCGGGCCAGTGGGGCGGCGGTTACGCCCGCTGCTAACCCCGGAGGTCGGCCAGACTGCGCAATACCAACATTCATACACGTATAATCCAGAAGTGAGTTCTTTGATAGAGCGAGGACGCCAGTAAATCCTTCCACTTAGCCGAATTACTTTATCAAAGAACTCACTTCTGGATTATACGAATACAGTCATGATGCTACCATGAGTAGACCACATATCCTACGAGGCATGAGTTTATCATCATATTGACCTCCCCTCGCTCTCTCTTTCTCTATTCACATCTTGATGCTTCCGCGAGACAGCCCTATTTGATGAAGGGACGGAATTCTAATCGTGCCACACGGGCGCACGCACATGAATCCTAGCAGAATACTAAGGCGCGGGGTCCTTAGTGAATCCCCCTGTTTAATTATAACAAGAGATCTGGTGGTCCACTGCATGGGTCCTTCGGCTTCTATTCTTACGTGCGACATCTTCTTTTTATGCCTTCGTGTCATTTTGGGCATGTTTTCCTCCTTCCGCTGCTCTATCCGGGTTTCTCCAGCCCAGGAGTTCAGGACTTTCGCGGCCAACGTCGTCCGCCTCGGTCCATGACTCCTACAGCCTTGCCATGGTTCCTACAGCCTTGCCATGGTTCCTACAGCCTTGTCATGGTTCCTACAGCCTTGCCATGAAGGTGGTGTGGGGCGGTATTGATCCTGTCTAGACCTGCTTACTGTCTTAGTATAACGAGAACTATGATTGGAAAGGTAGTCGCCGGCCCCCAAGTGGTGTGCTTGCTCCGCCTCCGCCATGGGCATGCGTTGGCATTTTGGCATCTCACACCCCACTTTATTAGAATCAAGGGCGAGCAATATGAGATTCAAGAGAGGTTCCATCACCTTGTACATCTACTCTCTTTCCCAGTGCCAGCTGACAAGATCTTTCCAGTGTCACTGGTAATGCACCCATTGAGTTTCTTATTTAATTAAGAAGATTCATTCCGTCCATCATCGCCTTTGTTCTCGCATCGTTCTTTCTAGTCTCAGAATCTTCAAGCACATGGCTCCACTTGACTTTGACAAATCGGCCAATGTTGCGTCACTGGCGGGGACTTGGCTGGGAACTATTTTCACCGGTGTCGGCCTGCTTGCTGTATTGACCCAGCTTCGTAGCTTGCTGCTGTATGTGACTGCGGAGAACCGACGATGGAAAGAAAGGGCCGCTGGCGCGTGGGCCAGTTGCATTCTGATGGACCAGTTGCCCAGCAATGGGATCCAAGAAGGCGTAATTCCTACGTTTTCTGGCTGGCTACAGCATTTCTACTTGCAAGAGAAGACCATTGCCACATCGCAAGACGATCATGGAGTATGTGGGAAAAGTTCCTGGAGTAATCTCTTTGGTCGGATGGATATAAAGGCTGCTGATCTAGACGCATATGGTGGGTTGAGACCACAGCTAGCTCCAACGCGGAAACGTGTCATTTCGGGTCGTAACCTCTGGATCCGCCCTTTAAGGTCGGGACTCGGAGATGCGTTAGTTGAAAATGGGAGCATTTCCTACGGCTTCTCGGCGCCAGAGTTTGCAGCACTGATCATCCTCTGCGGTTTCCGTCCTGGAGACTTCGCGCCGCAGAGCTCACGACATTCGACGTCTTTCTATGGCCAGATGCGCGTCGCCGACTACGGACCGTTCTCGCAGATTGCGAATTTCGACTCTCATCATGGATTCCGTGACGCCATCAGGAGCGTTACGACGGGTATGCGTGACGTTCCCGTTGCTCACAGCCTTGACCTTGCGTTTGGTATGATTCCTATCGAGGGTCGTCACGGAAGGGGATGGGTAATTCCCCGTGAATGGAACACCGTGCCGGACATGCAGTTCCATAAGTCTTCGACGGAGGTCTGGAGTGGATATGCGTTGCCACAGCAACTCAAAACGATTCAGTACTCCTTTGAGCGCTTTGTAGGTACCGGAGAGCTGGCGGTTGCGGATTACGCGCAAAGGAATGACGTTTTTGAGGCCGATGATGTTCTGGTAATGGAAAATCTGATATCTTCGAGTGGACTTACTTCGGTAGCGCAATGGTCCGCTGGAAAATCGGGACCCAAGTCTGCAAACATAGCGAGGGAGCTGTTAAATGCTACGCATGCAATAACCGCCATTCAGCCTTGGGGTTTGTTGCCCGTCCTTCCAGAGCATATGGTGGTCGCTGTCAAATTGATTTTGGATCCTTTTTATAAGACGAGAGAATTCACGATTAGGGTCCTGCAACGTGAACTCGAGTTGATACCGGACAAGACGTTTCGGTCCGAGGGAAGAACTGGCGAGGAACTATCGCAATCGCTCAATCTCGTTACCGGCGATAAGGAACGTTTCTTCATTGACGAAAAACACAGCTTTCTGACCTCGACATACCATGAGGCGATGTCTATGGTCTTCCGACACAAGAACATCAAGCTGGAGGATATCAGAATCTCACTTGCTGCCGCCGTCGGATCGAAATTGTTCTGGCTCCGAGAGGGAGCGGAAGAAACCGAGCCTTTCCAGAGAAACGTGAGACTATACTTAGAGCGTTGCTATCTTCAGGCGGAGGAAACGGAAAAATCGCGCAATGTACCCGGGTGGGCTGTTGACATATATGCAAACTACCTTTGGGGCTGGATCACGGATTCCATACCTGCGGATCCAGAGTTGACTAATTATTTTCGAAGAAGGGTCTTTCTTGCCTAACACTGGATTGAAGACCCTGGCCAATAATCGTCACAGTGGGACTGTGGGTTAGTGGGTCGCATATGAGAGTCCAGACTGGAAAAGTCAAACAACAAGCTCTATTTATACTCGGTCCTTTACCAGCATTTGGTTATTCAATCGATGTATCTCTTTCAAAGCCATAATTGTCAAGTGGTTGGTCCCATGTCTGCTTGAGAGGAGCTGGGAACCTTCATCTTGACAGGATGTGCCGGTTCAGATTTACTAACGCCGGCGTTGAGAGGGCCCGACCGCAGATAATGTCATTTGATTGTGCCTGTGTGCCTGTTCACTGTTTCCACATACGATTTGTGTTAGTCCAAATCAGCATATCACGCTCTCTCATACACATGTTGCGCGCTAAGGGGCAACTCACTGATTTGTGTGTTTATGCGAAGTTTTTAGCTCGCACTCGTGGGGTCTACTTGCAGTTGCTTCGTCCGGAGATATGAGAATATTACTACCCTAGGAGCTAAGAGCTAGCTATGTGCGTACCACAGTGCAAACAGAGCCGTCGATAGTTTGACTTTTTTTATGCTGCATTTATTCACAAACCATATATCCTGTCTATGACTTTGCTTTTCGTTGCAAATTGTTCCTTCAAAGTATTTGCTTGAAGCCTCTCCGCAACTTCAAACAAAAGACTCCTCACTCTTCGCCCTGGCCGTGGTAGATGCCCCATCCTCCTGCAAACTGTGCTCCGTCCTCTCGCTCTCGGCTATCTCCAAGAAGCTAATCCCCCCCTGCATTCCGGCATTGGCCAGCTGCTCAAATCCAGATAGTTCCATGTCACTCTTACGACGTTCCGACGGCCATCTCATCGGCCTCTTCTCAATTTTCTGGTCGCTTTCGGGGTCAATCCCCAGGTCGGAGCGGCGTCCGTTGTTCTTGGCGGAAGAAGATGATGCAGTACGTCTGCTAGTCCAGCTGAGAGAAGGGAGGAAGTTGTGAAGTCCGGCGAAGAGGGGGGGCAAAGTGGTGAGGCAGGCACAGACGATGGCCATGGTGGGCTCGACTTGAGACCACATGTAGCATGTGACTACGGTATCTGTACCCACGTCAGGATACTAAAGCTCTGAATTCTGACATTCCGTACAGGTAAGATCCCCCCCTTTGACCAGTTTAATCGTAATGATGCGCATTAATCCGGCGACACAAACCCTGCCACGCTTCGTCAGCCACAGCAATTTTGCGAATCAACCAAGTCATTCCACTCACAATGTGCCCAAGGCGAAGGTGCCAGAAAGCCATATCTTCTGATGAGTCGCAAGTTTGAGGTTCCACACCATATAAAGCGGCATGCACAATATAACAAGATCGAGAGCCATGTTCGAGCCGGTGGTAGCAGCCCAGTAAGCCTTCAGATCGATGCATTGGTTTGAGAAAATACTATCCGCATTGTACCTCTCGGCATCAGTGTGACATTGAAAAGCGAGGCAGAAAAGCGCTGCAATGAGCCAAGAAATGCACGCGATGCCGACTACCGTGGTTGCTCTTTTGAAGCTGGGGGTGGTGAAGATGCGGCGGTAGAGGAGTAGGATGGAGATCTTGACCATGGTGATGGTGAGAGTGTAGGTTATTAAAGATGCGTCGAGTGTCTAAAATGTACAAACGAGTCAGGGACTTCCCCAAGGAAACGTTTCGAGGTTCGTCTTCCTACCTTCAAGAACGTTGCCATCTGGCTCTCAGTCAACGTGTCAGCATGCTGGCCACCTTTACCACTCGTAATCACTGTATTCGTCAGCATGGAATGGAAACGCTGGAGCATAGGACGGACTGATCGAGCCCACTGCCAGCATGCAGTACGATGGGATCAAACTTGCGGCCATCCACCAGTCGTCGGCGCCGAAGGTAGCTTTACTCCTCAATCGTGCCACAAAGCGGAGGCATACCGCCAGGGTCGCGAGAATACCACACGCCACGGTCACGCGGACGACCTGGTCACGTCCTGAATTGTTGGTTTCCATGGTCGTAAGTACGATGAATTCGTTTGTTGTGTGGTCATCTATCCACTTCTCATCGAAATATTATAACGGAAAGAGCAGACGCCAAGCGAAGCCCGACCGCAGTGGGGCTAGGGGGACTCAACACATGCATGGTGGAAACAGCGAGTGCCGAGGGCAACTCAGGCAATGAAAATCCATTCTGATCGATGCTTGGCGTTGAACGTACCATAGTAGGTAGTCATTACCGCCCACCAAACTCACGGGTATTCGCATACGATAGCGCCGTCCTTCCCGGATTCCCGGGACGAACCCAAGCTGTCAAGCTATGACACTCAAGAACGGCCGTAGCGAATTTCGAACCCCCAGCCAACCAGGCGAGTATTAAAGGTCGAAAGAATGGCCAGCGCTAACGATAGAACGGACGTATTTCCCAAACGGGTGGCAGCGACGGTGGAGTTGCGGGAAGCCGCAGCCATCATCATCATCGCCAAAGCGGCCCGTACTGTCACGGAGACCTTCCGTCAACGTTGCTGGGATCATAGACGCCGAAGCATAGTCGAAGAGATTGAGTCGTGATACTCGTAAAGAATTGCACGCAAAGCACCGTCTACGCTATTCTCCCGCCTTGCGACTAGCTACTACATAGGAAATGACAATGGAAAGAGGCCCAGATGGAAGGAGGGAGTTTAAAAAAGGTGCAACATCAGAGGCTTTTATCGATTCAGAAATTTGGTCAATTCTATCGTTTGACTGTAATCGGTTGGTGCATCAATCCACGAGCTAATGCAGCATCTGCCCGCTGGATTGCAAGTGGGCTTCTTACTACCCATATCAGCTGCGCATTGACGAGACCCCAAGGCAGGTAGGTTGCCGTCGGTACTCAATCCCCGCCCCGTGATGTAGCCCGGCTTCGGCCCTTTTCCACGTCATTCTTTCATGCCCGCTGTTCAAGCCAAAATTACCTCGTCGAATTTGTTGGCTCATCGTCTAGGATACGACCCATGCTGATGAATCTCAGCGAGCCACTGACCGTCGACTCTGCGATTTGAGCAAAACACACCGCAATATCCGACCGAGATGTAGAACATCGAGTCTTCCAACCTACATGCTGTCGGCGCGCCGCGTCATAAAGCGGTAGAGGACCGCATGTGGTGGTTAACCCCTACTCTTCGTGGACTCCTTGCGTCCAAAGCGCCATTTTGATCTGGAACTTTTGATCCTTGGGCCATTCTCTGTCGAGGCATTCATTGAGAAAGCATCGCCCGCGGGCGCAGATGCGATCCGCATGGTAAGCGGGAGGACAGATCGAAGCGGCCTTGGTGGCTCGGCAATAGAGACGGCACAACCAGTGAGTCAATCGCTCGACTTGGTCATAGAAAGCGGGTATTGATCTGTCACTGACGGTGCCTTCCAAAGCCGCATGTGCTTGTGTTTCGAAATCCCAACGACGCTCCATTGTGATTCCTCTGTCGACGACCGTACTGTTCGGAGGGTTCCAGTCGCTCACGGTGTCGGCTTTGCCTTTTGTTGCGGGATGGAACCGGGTATGATGATGCTTACCCACAATGATGATAGCGATCTTGGGCATGTCTTAAGGATTGTTGAGATTTTTGTATGCGTTCTGTACCCTCTTGAGCTCTGTGTTTAAGACATCATCAGACTTCCCTTCAGATACCCTTGATGTATGAGTCTTGTATCAGCAATATATCTTGATCTTGTCTTTTACATCACCTACCATTGCGGTAGACGATTATTTCTCTGTGCTCACCCATTTGCGTTCTTGCTCATACAGACGTTCAAGCGCTCTTTCATCATCTCACGATGATCTTTGACAATCTCCTCTTTGTTTTCTTGACAGCACAGACTCCCAGGTAATCGACAAGACTTCCAATCGATACTTGCCACAACACTAGCGATACTTGGGACGCCGTCCATACTGCCAGGAGCCTGATGTGTCACATCAATGCCAACAAGCATAGTTCCCCCTTCTCCTACGGATTCAGGTAGTTCCGAGTCTCTAGTGGTAAGAGCTTGGTTTATCCTGCCGCTTTTGACGTTGTTGTTTTTGAAGGCAATGCCAGCGCTGATGTCTGGGCTTCCTTTTTTGAACCTGGAGCTTGTGATGCAGGTTGTACGAATACCTGCAAGTTGGTACCAATGTGGTTCAAGATACCTTGGGCTGAATAGCAGACGCTCAGATCCAGCACCACTCATCCCACACAAGCCAATCGCAAACACAATCACCACCGCCTCCAGCCCTCCAGACCGCCGTACCCCAACCGCCAACAACCCTTTCCCCAAAATCCACAAACGTGTCCGCCGCGCTCAGTGATTCGACCCCGAGGACCTGCTCCGCGGGCGAGCTGTCCGCGCCGTACGCGTTTGCGGGCAAAGAGCTCGTGCTGGGGGTGCCCTCCGGGGTGCGGCTGGCCAGCGCTGGTAGGCTATGGCGGAGGAGATCCGAGATCTGCTGGCTGCCGATCTGACCTTGGGAGACGATGAAGCGCCTGTTTGAGGCTTCTGGGACGGTCGCGGCGCGGAGGTGGGCTGTGGCGATGTCCTGTGGTCTGGTTTGATTTGGGTTGGGATTTTTCGAGCTTAGGAGTTTTTCAATCCGGTAGGTGAATGATGATGATGATGATGATGATGATGATGATGTAGAAGGAACCGCTTACCCTCACGTCTACGTACAGGTAAAGGCCATTCGGCGGCAGCTCTACGGTTCGGGACGAACTGACAAAGAAATTCTAAATGCACGCGTTGGATTCGTTCAAATCTGCAAGGCTGGGGATGTGATGGGCCGGAGGTCCATAGATCATTGACGGACACAAACTGACCAGATCGAAAGCAGGTGTCTCTCATTCCCCGTAGTTCCATGCTGGGAAACGCTGTCGTTAGGGCCCAAAGCATACAGTGATCAGACGATGCGATCTCGAAAAGACTGACCGGCTCTCTCAGCAATATTCTTGCTCGTCCTATAGAATACCCCACGCCCTTATCAACTTGTCCGTGTTTATAGACTATCACTGATATGTATTTTATGATGTCTAAGAAGTATTATTGAATCCTTATACAGCTAGACCGAATGTATGTGTGTGTGTCTTCAAACTGGCAAAACAAATGAGGCTATCTTTACATTCCTTCTTCCCCTGACCGCAATTACTCCTCTGCTTGGTGATCCGGTCATCTGCTATTTCTGTAGACTGTGCTAGCGGCTCCTATTGGTAGTATAGTGTCTTTCTTTCCCCCAGCCTCTAGATCGTTCCAGGTGATTCGTATCCACTAGCGTTATGCGTCCATCCCTTATCTTTGTCATGTCAGTGGTTCTTGTCTCCTCTGACCATGGTCTCGTATTCCTTTTACACTTCTCGCTGATTCTTCATTGCCATGTGCTGATGCCATGATGCTGATGCCATATGCTTCGCTTCAAGCACCGATAAAAGTATGTTTTATAATAAAAGATAAAATAAATAAAGGGATGTCTTAGGTTGTTTTGATTATTATAAGGTATTTTTTAAAAATATATTTTTTTTTATTAATAATGAAAAATTATTAATTAATTAATTTAAGATCGTATATAAACTCTTTTAAATTAATACCTTTTACATGACAGCTTCCTCCCGTGTCGAGGGATTCCAATCATGCGCAGTATGTCTCCTGTCATTATCGCCAGCGGCAAAACCAAACACAGCAGCACAACTACTCGCGACAACTACCCTCGTCACACTCCGCGCATGCGCCTTAACTGCTGTCTAGATCTCCTCTGTGCCTTGCTTAGCCGGGATGGAGGAAATCTTTCAAGTTGTCCGAAACCGTTTCATAGAAAAAGGGGGAAGCGGTATCAATGACCAAGTCAATAGGGAGGTCAGCCTTGACAACAGCATCGAACGCACCGGGAGCGGTGATGTCGGGCACGATGCCGAATTAAGATCTTGCCGGCTGGCTGCGGGATGGTCGGAGCACACCTGATTGGCTTTGCTCTGGGAGCAGACTATAGCGCGGACTGAGAAGTTGGAGGCGAGGAGTTGAGAGAGGATGTGGGTTCCGAGGAAGCCGTTTGCGCCGGTGAGGAGGACGCGTTGGACCGTTGCTATGATAGAATTGTGGAATGCTTCTGGGCCTCGAGCCAGATAGTTGTGGAAACCAAGGAGCTAAGAATCCGAAAATGATCAAGGACATTGACGGAACGTGAAGGAATGAGATTAAGTGTATAGTACATCGCCTACCCGTGTGAATCGATCATGTTGATTGGCCAGGAGTAAGGGAATCGGTAAGAAGCTGCAGCCGCAGAAGTAACACGATGACTGCACGTTGCTGGAACTTGCAGTGGGTTTATCGTACACACGTGTTCGGAGACTCTACCCATTTGGAACATGATCAATGCAAGTCGACGCCTGGTCACCCGTGGCTGCTTGCTACGCGGGTTTCCTCTCATCGTGGTGCATCTGGAGATGTATGTTCATCAGAAGCTCAACGTGCAAGACGGTCGCCGAGCGAGCATGATGTGCTGATTCATATCGATAACTGATTCTTTCGCCGGCAAGGCCTAGTCTCCCCCTCTCTCGAACAGAACAGGCGGCCGGCATCGCTTTCGCCTTCCGTATGTGCCCAGTATGAATATAGCATCCGTCCCTTTCCTTCAGAGAATCTAAAACCCAGCCCCACAGATGTGATCGACACCCAGCCAAGAATCCACGTTATCAAAAACGCCTTCTTCTCGAAGCAAAGGGATGGAGATACCGACGGAAGCGTCAAGCCACCAAAAGAGCTATGCACGCAGCAACAAAACGCAGCCACCAAACACCACCAACAACAACGACGAAGACTCCAGACGGAAAACCAACACCAATCGAAACCCGAGACGCCCACCAGGCCTTCACGACACGCCAAAACCCCACCCCGAATCCTACCCCACAGAGAAAGAAGACAAAGAGGCATACAAGCGGCCATGACCCCACATATATATATACAGTTAGGGTGTCAGCGACCGCATACCCAACGAAGCCACAACCACACCAACCCAAACCAAGCCCCCCATCCGAAACACACACACATACCCCCTCCGATGCCGCAACAAGACCGCCTCAACAACGCCAGCACCATCCCCCCCCCCCCCCTTTCTTTCATTATAAAAACAGCCACCTAAACATCAAAGTCTCAAACGCAAAGCGCGGACGCATATACATATACATACAAACAAAGCACCACATCCACCATCCAACCCCCGCGCCGCAAATTGACCCAATTCCAACAACATACACACATATATACGCGCGTACGCACCTACCGCCCCACTCGCCTCGGCTCTAGTCGCCGAACCCACCCGTGTCAAACCCCGTCATGGTCTCGGTTGAGAAAGGGATGGGATGGGATGGGATGTGATACAATACAAACAAACAAACATCCATAAAAACAAAAAAAAGCACGAACAACCCCCCTGAAACATCCCGGGGAACCGGCGGCGGTATCCGAGACCGAGGCTGGCGAAAAAAATTTGGGTATGTGGCAGGATTTTTGGCGACGGGGATTGAGGATTTCCGTGGGTGGACGGACTTGCGACCTGTAAGGGATGTACCTGGGCTGGTTGGTGGGTGCCGGAGAGAGAAATGACTGGGGGGTGGGGGGGGGGTGCATGGAGCAGGGACGGACGGGTTTCATGTCTGGTTTCAGGACACATGCTGGCGACTCGGGGTAGCGTTCATGGAAGCGTCGTTGGGTCGGTATTGTTGAAGATGGCATCATGGGATGGAGGAGGAACGAAAAAGATGTGTAGAGCAGTAATCGTGACGGCAACTAGGGTATACCACTCGACTATTTACAGACGCGTACTAGTACCTCCCATCGGTTTCCCCCTCTCCAAGACAAGACAAACATGTGAAATCGATTCTCAACCGGCCGCTTTTTCAATAACGGCAGTGTGGACATCCTCCGGTGCCACGTCCAGAGCGAGACCCTTGTGCGTGAGACCCATCTCCTCGGCGAAGGTGGAGTGGGGCTTCCAGGCGGCGGAGTGCCGGGCGTTCGTCTCTTCCATCATCTTGTCGACCTGTTCGAGGGAGAGACCTTTGGTTTCGGGCTGAGGAGTGACGTGTCAGCTTGTGCGGCATGCTCATGGGGAGAAGATGATAACTTACAACCAGGAAGTATGCAAAGGCGGTGGAGAGGCAGCAAAGGGAGCCCCAGAGGAAGAAGACCTTGGCGCCGAGGTTCGCGTCACCTTTGTTGGTACCGACCAAGTAAGGAGTGATGACGGCAATGATCTGTCATGGTCAGTATCAACAAGATCACCTATTCGTAGATAAAGGCTCGAACTTACGCAATTCCAGAACCAATTGGATGAAGTAGAGATACCGACACCGCGAGATCGAATCGGAAGAGGGAAGATCTCGCCAACGACCACCCACGCACACGGGCCCCAGCTCGCAGCGAAGAAGGAGATGTTGAAGCAGATGAAGGCAATCATGGCCGAGACAGCAGCACTGTCATGTCTCGAGCTCTTGCCGGCGGTAACACCAATGATACCAACGATGAATTGCATGATGATCATCCCCGTGCCTCCGATGATGAGGATCTTGCGGCGACCGAAGCGTTCGACTGTCCAAAAGGAGACGGGAGTCGAGCAGACGTTGACGAGGGTCGTGATGAGGGAGATGAGGAAGGGGTTCTTGATCGTGCCGAGGGAGGTGAAGAAGACGGTTCCGAAGTAGAAGATGAAGTTGATACCGGTCAATTGCTGCATCATTTGCATGAGAATGCCTAGCACGTGGGTGTCAGTCGTTGCGCTTATCAAGAGAAGGCCATGGCGACTCACCAACTACCGTACGACGGACGTTGCTGTTGCCGTTTGTGATATTTCCGGAAAAGCAGTTGGTCCAGCTGCCTAGCCATGTGGTTTGTGGGATGATCTGCAACTCGTATTCGTGGTTGGCAATGATCTCAGCCAGCTCATCCTGGATAAAGTCGGAATCGATTGGCTGTCCACGGACTTTGGACAGAGCCAGCGCGGCAGACTCGAGCTTGCCCTTCTTGACAAAGTATCTAGGAGACTCTGGCAGGATGAAGAGACCAATGGCCAGGATGATAGCCCAGAGGAATTGGACAGCGATTGGGATTCGGTAAGAGCCGGTATCGTCGCGGTCTTGAGTTGCGTAGACAACACAATTGGCTAGGAGGATACCGATTGTAATACAGAATTGGTATCCTGCCACAACCGCACCACGGACAGCTTTTGGTGCGATTTCCTAGAAAGTTTGTCAGGATATGTGTGATACGGTGGGAGCTGGTTGGGGTTTTACTTACGGACATGTACAGGATGACAATGGCCGAGATGAAGCCGACACCAAGTCCGCAAATAACACGGCCAGCGCACATGACACCGAGGCCGGTGGAAGCAGTCTCGAGAATGCAACCCACGCTGAAAATGAAACAGCCCGAAATGATGGTGGTTCGACGTCCAACGAAGTCGGCAATGTCCCCGGCGATGAGAGCGCCGAAAAAGGTGCCGCAGGATAGAATCGAGGTGGTCAAAGACTGATCGCTTGCGGGCAAATGGAAAGCCTTGACAGCAGCGGCATCATTTGGGTCGGGGTAAGGCAGGCCGGTGTATTGACGGATGAAGTACTTCATGGCCAGAACACCACCCATCCAGCCGGTGTCGTAGCCGAAGAAGATACCACCAAAGGCCGCGAAGGCACAGATCAAGTAGGCCCTCATAGTGATGGGGGCCTCGAGGCGCGACGTGTCCGCCGTGCCGGTAATGACAACGGGTGCTACTCCTCCTCCAGGCATGATGGCGGTGATATTAGTTGGAAGTACCTTGGAGCGGTAAAAGTTAAGAGAGGTGAGGTACAGGAAAGAGCGAGAAGGTCGACGCAGGGGGGGCTGAGGGTTCTTATTATATGTGTGTGGTGGACAAGACACTAAGGTACTTATTTATCAAACGCCTCCCGCACCCCGCATACTGCTAAGGGACTCAGGGAGTAAGTAATACAGTACCTTAGGAATTATTCCGTTGGCAGGCCGCAGAGAAGCAAAAGCCAAAGCGAGCGAGCTAACCTCGTCAAGGTGAAGTCCGTGATGACTGCCGCCGGTTGATCATGTGGTGCAACCATGATGATCAATTGGATGATCCACTCGTATCGCTAAGGTACTTTAGTATCGCCGACTGTATCACTGCTGGACACCCTCGATACACGTGATACACGTGATACACGGAGCACAGATGGATCCTGGCAGAGGTTGTTGGGGGGGGGAAGTGTGGGTGGTATTTAATTTACATTTCACGCCCCGTTCTCTAGCTCGTACGGTATTCAGCTGTGATTGGATGTCAGCTGGTCTAGGTGCAGGAAGTAATTGGAAAAAGTGAATGGTCGAGTCAGCAAAAAGCCGAACTTGTAAAAGTCGAACCCCCGCGCCTAGCCCATTTTCCCCGCTTTTTCTGGGTCCCTAGCTCAAGGAGATAACATTGACTCCGGCCTTGTGAGTGGTGGAAATAATAAGCGCGCCGCAGCTGCTCGCAAGCCTTTGGAGCTTGATTTGCTACTTTTCAAGAAGATCCAGACGCACGCATGACGGTTTTCTAGCTCCGTCTCTTCATCTGGACCGTCTCGTCTAAGATTCTGCAATGCTGAGGGGCGTTGTCAGAACAGTAAATTGCACACCTGCCCTTTTGGATTCACTTCTTCCTGCTCATACGTAATAGGAAATGTGCCGACAGAAAAGAGAAAGATGAGTTTGGGCTCCTTCGGAGAGCGATGTGATTTCCTGGTTTCGAGCTTGGTCCCTTGAACCCCGAATTTTAGCGCCCGTTTCGGCCATCTCCGCGATCTGCGTGGTTTGGTGATCTTGGCAGTCTTGGCGCTCGGTAAGCGTCGGGCAGGAACCTACATTACCTTAGTTTCCTTAGCTGTTGAAGCAGAGTCGCTGCAGGTCTGGGCCTTTGGTTTCCCCGGATTAACACCTTAACCCTATATGGAAAGTCAAATTGAAGATGGCAATGAAGTGAGGAAGCGTCCCAGCCTCTCCTTGACGCCAAACCTTTACTCTTCAACCTCCTGCAGTCATTGGCCGATGAGAACCGACAGTGTATAAAGTACCTAGAGTAGATCGTAGAGAGGCCCAAGTCTCGAACAAATCGGCGATTGGTCGCCGAAGGATTACACCTTCCACGTGGTAAGATCCGACATCTGAACCCATGTCTGATGGTTGCTTTAATTGGCCGAACCGAAAAAAAAGTCGCGTGCTCGATGCGGCTACAGACATGGAGACTTTAGCCGTGCTTTTGGCTAATTCAAAGGCATGAAACGCCTCCGGAAAATATAGCCGAGTCAGAAGACGTGCAAAGGACCGGGAGAATGGAAATAATCAAAAGGGGCGACCTCGGCTTCATGTTCTGACTTGTCCCAGCTTTTGCGACGTGCTTCGACACTGGTCGGACGGCAAAGTCAGCCAGTAATCCAATAGTGCGATGCCGGTGTCCTTCTGAAATACGGGGCACCGCCACCCACGCTGACAGCCTGACAGTACTCAGCGACCCTTGCCTGCCGAGTACGAAGAGGACAAAGGATTCCAATGGTAGCGGAATGAGAGCCCCTCATCCACTTCTAATTCGTAGTGATGCTGCTGCTTGCAAATCTGCGCGACTGCAGAAGAAAGGTGAGACAAAATGGCAAAAGAAAGAGGAGGAACCGCTAGGAAGCATTCACCCACCTCGAAATGCCATTAAAAGTGATTGTCACTGCCGCACTTTCTGTTCCTCCAACCTCCTTCGTCACCTCATGAACAGCCTCATATCCTGACCCATTCATCGGCGAATGAGCACCCTTTCTTTTCTCATACCCCTTCACCACCCCAAGAAGCCTTCAGCAATGGTGCCTTTTTTCTGTCAGCACCTCTGTACCCAAAAACGTCATGGCAGAATTCGAGCGAACTTCAATCACGTCAAGAGTAGCGAAGAGTGGACTGAGAAATAAGACAAATGATAGCGAGCAACAGACAAACCAAACTACAAAATATCGAGTACCAAATGCATACTCGGACCAGTCCCGAGCACCCAGCAGAGGCGCATTCATGGGTCAGGATCGAAATTGTATGTCAAGCACCCAGCAGTGATACTCCCTCCCATACCGTCATTAGAGTAACCTGGAAACCTATCAGTGTTCAAGTTTGGACGGGGTCGTAGCAGCCAAGTACTTACATGTCTCCCAAGCATTGTAAAGGAGCGTAGTGCAATTGAAATCGGGCGTTGTAGGTAGAGGGTACATGACGGTAGCATTGTCAATGGAGCAACCGGGTGTCGCAGTGACTGTCATGTTATATCCACTTTCGTCAAGTGTTGAACCCTGGTTGTGATTGTTTCCTTGGCTGCTTCCGTCCAAAATTCCGTTATCGCTCTGGATCACCGTCAGTAGCACATTCTTGTTGGCGCTGCAAAAGCCGTCGGTTTTTTGTTGGACCTGAGTAGCGTCATGGTAACTGCCTGTGGGACTCGGCCTGCAGCTAACAGGGGCGGGCGGACTGTTAGGAGTGCTCGATGCTGTTGTACTCGTTGGTGGGGCAGACGATGGGGGTGGAGGGGAACTTGTGGAAGTTGCTGGAGGAGTCGATGAGGGCGAACTTGTTGTGGAAGTCGTGGATGAAGCCACCGAGGACGAAGTGGATGGCACTGTGGATGAGACATTCGTGGAAGTCGGTGAGGTCGTCGTGGATGAGGCACCTGTGGGAGTTGAAGAAGAAGCCGCTGTGGACGAAGCGCTTGGGGATACTGATAGGGTCGCCGACAGTGAGCCGCTTAGCAAAGGGTTGGAACTCACTGGAGAGCTAGCAGAAGTGGCCAATGTTGTCAAAGTCGGAGCTGTCGCTATCGATGATGCTGCATTAGACGCGGGCGTATCAGTAGCGGGTTGTCCATTGACGGGAACGGTGAGTATTTGACCGACGAACAGATCAGTGGCGATCACACCGGGGTTTGCGGCTTCGAGGGATTCCACGGAGATCCCAGCACTGTAGGCAATGCCCAAGAATGTGTCGCTGTCTTGAACGGTGGTGGTGTTTGTTGCGAAAGAGCCTCGAGTAATGAGTGGGATTGTGAACAGCAAACGTACTACCAGGGCACTGCTGACAAGTGAGCGGCTGCGCATCTTGATGTAAAGGGCCGATCAGAGAGGAAAAGGGAAGCGAATCGATCGCTATGAGGGTGAATGCTGAGAACTGAACCACGATTTTTTGGATGCGATGTAATTGTTGGCACTGGAACAGTAAGGGTATGTATGATATTTATGCACAGATTGACAGAGTCTGTCGTGACTCTTGTGTTTGATTATGGCTCCTTATCTCGAATCGTGTGTTTCCAATCATAGCTAAACAAGAAAGAAATGGCATTGATACATGAGCTGAACGGGTTCGTCTATCTCTGATTGTTTATCGGTGCTCTTTATCGAGATTTCTTGTTTTTCATTCATCGTAAAACAGGCGGCTTTATCATACTAGATGAATGTTTAGGAGCACAAGGAAGGATAATGAATAGCAATAGAAATGAAGAGTAGTGACTATACTGACAAAGAAAGTACAAGAAAAAAGGATATCTAGAAAGTGCGCTGCCGCGGCGAAGCGCTTCCCGGAATTCTTCAAAGGACTTTGGGCTGGTTCTGAGAGCTCCGGTGGTCATATTCATGAATGGAGCCCGCGTAGCACCATTTCTGTGACCAGCAGACAGGATGCCATACTTCCTGCGAAGCAATCTGCGTGCTTGAAGCTAGGGCATTGTACCGCACCACAGCGACTTTGGAGGGTTACAGGCATCCAAGAATCACAGATAGCAGTAGGGGACAGAGGAAGCGGCGCGGGTGAATTGGCTTTCTGCTGCTTGCTCCGCTTCAAGTATAGGGAAAATCCACCAGCTCCCATTCGAGCGGTGTTTTCTCATGGAGCCGGAAAAGGCGAGTTCTTGGCACTGGTCCGGCAAAAGATGCCTCGGTGCCAGAAGTGCCTAAAACTACCATACAATACCTTACTTTATGGTGCCTGGTGGTGCTAAAGTGCTGAGTAATATACTACGCTGTCTTTTTGCAGGGCGTCACATCAATCATGGTGACCAAATGCTACTTATACAGCTGAAGGCACCTCGCGTCACCAAGCTCATGCGCTCAGCAATCTTCCTCCGTGTTCTCAGTGACCGCATGTCTCGGTATGCGATATTGGTGGACCCATATTAAGCCATGTATGCTCCATTACCAGGACCGGGCATGCAAATGTCGCTGATTGAGATAGGCCAGAAAGGGTAGCACAACATGATTTCCCAATGTCACCGTCCTCGCCGTTTAATATCCAGACGCTGTACCTCCAACGGTAGACCCAAGAATCGACAGGCACGCTGCCGACATGATCGAGGGGGCAATTATCTTGCCTCTCGGAGGATCATGGTTTCCGTACGACCAAGAGCGAACTCTTTTTTGCCTACGACTGGCCAGCCAATCCAATATACATCTAATCCATACCATCTGTACTAAGCTTGCGAAGTGATCCCTTCAAGTGTCATGAATGAGAGGGCTAGGAAGCAAAAAATTCTACAAAGACTTCGCTTAGCCGAGGTTCTTGGCTCCCGCTTCACGGCGGCGATGGACTCGCAGGATGGCGATGAGGAGACCCTAGAAGGACCGAGGCATTGCCATCCATAATGAGAATCAGCGTCATGAAACGAAGGTCTCACTGAACTCATTCACTGGCTACAGAAAGTCTACCCTCGCGACTAGACTCATCATTTGGTCCCATGACTTTTGATGCGTCCGGAGAGTCGTGCCGCCCAGGTATCCGAAAAAATATGGGTCGTCATTCAAAACAGCTGGCCCTATGGCTATTGATTGCGCGAGATATTCCAAAGAATGCAGGGTATCATCCCAAACAGGTGGTCCTGCCGCTGATGTTACGCCAGATATGGCAAGCAATGCAGGGCATTGTTCCAGAACCGATGAACAGCCAAATAAAGCGGATTCTGATTTGATCGCGAAGCCTCTTATCAAGCGTCCAGTCCAGAATCTTGCATCATGGTCCCATGAACTGCCCTCAGGACACCCCACTCGCGATCTTGGTGCCGATCAAATGATCTCTACGCGCGATGCGAAGCCCCCATGGGACAGCGCATGAGGGGCAGCTATCACCCAGCATAAATAACGCTCGAGACTGCATTTCTGGATGTAGCAACTCGATAGGCATCGCTGCCACGATGCTCGTGACCATTGTCTTGTTCGCCGTTGTGTTCACCTGCCTTGCCTGTGGTGCGAACATACGCGCTTTACCTGTCGCCCCTTCTTGCCTAAAGACTGGAGGACTTCAAAGCCAATCACATTGTGAATGTACTACATCCATTGACTGGGTTGGCGATGGTTATAACAATGAGGATTGCCGTGCCACAGTTCAACGCCTCTACACTGTTGAGGTAACAAAGCATCATGATACCGAATTCGAGTTTTTGTCACCCGGGGCAATGCCCTACACTTCGAATCCTGTAATGCAAACACCAAGGAGATACAGTGTCGGTCAGTCATGATCTGAGCTTCAGAAATTTCGCGCAGGCACTGACGGAGAGCCCGTCAGGCAAATGCACCCTTGCTATCGTCATGCTGGAGACCTTCCCTCGTGGCTCACTGCCTGGCCAAGATCCCTTGAGTCACCACGACTATGCAGATACGGACCTTGCGTCTTTTCAGGACCTTTGGCTCGCTGCCGATTACATAGAGTTATGTTGTCTCGAATTTCAGCACACCCCTGGTTGGGCGCTCGTTGGTGAGGCACTTCGTTGTCTCCTTTGGTGCCTACATGGTCTGACCATCAACAGGGGAGCGCGACTCCATGGGTGTGTTTATATGGACTACCAACTCAGCTGAGGACCGAGAGGTTCCACAGGGAGCCCCCACGCTTCCGTTCTCGTCAAATCTCACGAGATTGCTTACTTCTGGAAACGGATCTGGAGTTCACATAATCCTGGATGACTGAAGTCGTTCAGAGTCTGAAGCCGTGCTAGCTTTTATCTTAGTACATGGACAGTTGTGGGTCAAGCGCGTTGTCTGGTTCAATTGCAATCACATTCATGAAATACGATTCAAAGAACTAATCGTCTCGGGAGACATGCGAGTCGTAGTGCAGAGAGAATAAAAGCAGACTGAAGTTCTGCTTCTAGATGAGAGACCGTTAGAAGAAGCAAGTGTTACTCTTATGTGATAGTCATTCGGTCGAAACTCTGAGTATCTGCTCTCATGTTCCCATGCATCATTTTCTGCCTCTGAAATCACTGTCCTTCAATAATCTACCGCGATTTCCGTGACAAGACAAAGGGAATGATGCCTAAAACACGACCTTTGCCTCGATATATACTCGCACGTTGAGAAGTTTGTCCAGGGGTCTGCAGACATTCGTGGCGGCAAGCGCCATCGCAACGGCGGTGTCCAAATACCAATCACTTCGAGGACAGATGCGCTGCTAACCCCATCAACTGCTGTCACTTACTGATAAAATTGAACATATGTGGCAGCTCACAGCAGCACACGCGTAGGCTCTGCTTTTTGGGTGCTTGGTGGGTAAGCCTGGAGACATGACCAGCTGCAAACATAGATCGACTTCTTCGCTTTCTGTTCGAACCGCTCCTAATGGCTGGATCCGGATTGTAGCAACCTCGGAAGCTCGACGATTGTGTCCGTCGATGAGGATAAAACCCTCTGTACCGGAGACGAAAGCTCCGTCACGCACCCCCCATCCTCATTACCATCAAGCCCTCAAGAATGTCAAGTCGAGTTCGACGAGCATTCAGCTCCATACTTGAGAATTATAGCCAAATTCGAAGACTCATGAGGAAGATCACAAATGTTGTTGCGACGGATATGAGATATATTCTGGCTGCAACACTAACTGGTCGCACGACCTGGACGAGGACAAGCTCGCACTATCTCTCAACGCGGCGGCAATATAGAAGAGACCAGAATGGATGTTCGTCAGTAAGTCTCTCCCCTCACTTTCTGCTTCGTAATTTCCCCTTGAGACGTGTACTCATCACGGACGAACCGTCGGCCTAGATAGGTAGCCAGATCACGAAACAAGTCTTCACCTGCGGAGATCAACCTGCCAGATTGATGCACTGATCCCCCCAAACCTCGTCACTTTCCCTGTACGGGAAGTGTTTTCGATGCGTTTGGTCATTTCCGTTCAACATCCTTTGACAGGAAGAGCCGACTCGCTCTGATGAATACCCCAAAAAAAACATGAGCGAATGAAGATACAGGGAGCGTAGGGTGTGAGACGTGCGGCCGTCGGACTCAAAATTAAGAGAGGAAAATCAGAGCATCTGGGATGATTTCTTGAAAAGTGTCACTTTTGCTTGGCAACGCGCCTGGACTGCAGGACTCCAACGAGTGCGATCCGAAATTCGACGCTTTGTTTCCGGAGTCCTGGGCGGATTGGCGGCGCGGTTCATGTGGGCGGGGGACGGTGCCGGACTTTGGGGAGTTGAGGGAAAGCGGGGGGGTCGTGAGTGGGAAGGGAAGGAGTTGGGGGTTGATGAGGGGATGTTGGTGGGGTTGAGGGGGTTTTGGAGGGAGTGAAGGGAATGCTTACGGTGTGGAGGGCCAGCTGAGTGAGTTATTCTCGGGGAGAGGATCCGCATCTGTGTAAGAGGATCGAGCAAGAGTGGTGCATCAAGGGGGAGAAAAGAACCCTAGAGGCTTCTTTCTTCCTTTCCATTTTGGCACACTTTTGTGGGCATTAACCAGGGTAAGTTGACTGTTCACCTCAAGGTCTTCGGAATAAAGGCCATTTGAAGCAGGCAAAATATTCTTCCTTCACTAAAAAGGACACTTATCTAGGGTTCACTCAGTTACAACTGTCATCTTTTCTGTGGAAAGTACCTATTGAGACCCAAGAAATCTATGATTGAAAAGAAGCCAAATCGGTCAATACGCCACGCAGCGGAGCCCCGAAGTCGTGAAGGATGTGGTCGCAGACTACGTTTGCGACAAAGAGCCAGGATCGCACAGACACCTGAAGGCCGTCCTCAATCGCAGATACATGTTTCCACCCACTTGAAAAGCCATACTCTCCAGGACGGAGACGTGCGGTCTGCTTCACAATGCCTGATTTCCCCCTGTATGCGGGAACGCTGCCGATTGGAAAAAAAGAATGGAAATAAAGGAGGCGCAGGATGAGTCTCTCGAAATTACCGCGCAGGGTAGCAAAACCTCCCTCGCGGACGACTCGGAAACACCCGCTGAGCACGACCCTGACCATGAGACGCTAGAGGAGCTAGTGGCCCGGGAAGCGGCCATCTGACTGCGGCATGGTTTGAAACGACTCCAGAAGGCGGAGTAAGCGCTTCGGAGGGAGATCTCTTTCCTGGATGGGCCCGGGCAGGTGCAGCGAGGCGGCAGTGTTCGTCTTGGTTAGCCAATCAGGGAATATTTCCCCAGAGCGAGGCACTCGCGGCTGATTGTGCAACAGGCTCAGGGCAGGTCCAAACCGCGCTACGGGTCTTGGGCAGATGCTGTTCGTGTTTTGAATTCTCGAGGGGGGATGCGAGGCAGTAGCATACTTTCGACACGTAGGGGTATCACGCAGGAAACCGCAAAGGTGATCTGGCTATACCTTGCAGGCGAGAAATGAACCATGGTGAGCTTCGAAGAGACAGCCCCGCTTTGCGAGTGTGCGACGAAGTTGTGGAGGAACTGGGGAAAGGTTTCGGCCGTGTCCGTTGCAGATTCGTCTCTGGTCTGTTTCAGTCGCCACAGCCGAACCGCCAAAGATGATGTGAGTCGGCGCTACGAGCGAGTCACGAGTACGAGAGGTTGATTCCGACTGGATTCCTCGCAGCTTGCGATTTCCAGTGCAAACGTAAACCTGCGTCCCTCGTTGCTCGAAGATGGCAGATTAGGGTCTACCCAACTTCGTATCGTTCCCGAATCCGCGCTCCACGAGAACGACAATCGGACTCCTGGATCGCAGTTTGGCTCTAGGCTGACGAGGGGACAGGCCGAGTCCCTGTCGCCTGTACCGTCCTCTTTGAGAAATCATGCCTGTTGCGAATGTGCTTGTCACGCAATACATCGTGAGGCATCCCAAAGGCAACGGACCATGCCCTCGCCACTGCGTTCATTTCATCACCTTCGGTCTCTCTTACGGATCGGCGGAGGTGCACGGCTGCCCTCTCATCCTTGAACTGGACTTGTCCAAACATCGGCCGCCTCAAAAGCACCTCTGTGAAGAATTCACTGGGCGGAACAGAGAGGTTGCCGAGAGCTTCTTTTCCGTCCCCGCGAACGAGGACGAGTTTCACCGGGCCTTGGGAGAGCTCGAGCAAAGGATGAAGCGTGAACCGCGGGGAGGTTGCGTCGCGGTCCTGATCAATTGCACGGCGGGCATGCATAGGAGTGTGGCGATGGCGGAAAGGCTGGCGGAGGCGGTGTGGAGCTGGGGTGGCTTCGGAGCCGAATGTTTGCATCTGGACCTCTGGAAGGGCATGACGATACAAGAGAAGACGGCGGCAAGGGTGGGCGACACGGGGATGTGTGAAGGAAGACCAGCGCGAGGACATCGACGCTCGAGGCACAGGGTACAAGCAACGTCAGAAACACGAGCGAGCGAAAAGAGGCCGAGAGGACCAGCCGCGACAGCGGATGCGGTGCTACCCCCGGGAGAAGCACCTGTACCTCAGAAGACGGTATCGTGGGCGACAGCGAGACCCGTGGGGGAACCGCACCTTCAGAAACGCGAAACCGCTGGCAGATCGGCTGATACATGGGGAAAGGATGAAAACCGAGGCAGAAGGCTTACTTCATGAGCAGGTGTGGCCGGGTCAGGCTATCTAGCGCTTTGTTTTAGTTACCGAAGTCTTTTGAGTTCCGTGGTCATGTAGTCTCCTCTTTCAAAAAAATATATTTTTTTCAGCGGTCTAGAGGTTGTAAAACTGAAAAGTCATGCATAGCGAGGATCTCAATTCACAACAGGAGAAAGCTCTCCTCCTTTATCAATCAAAATAAATCGGCTCTTGCTGTCAAAGGATCTTAAGCAGAAACAGTTGGACACACAAAAAGAAAGATTTGTGAAACCGTCGCTTTCTTCTGGTACTGCGTCTGAGTTGTAAGAGACGACTTTAGCAGATTCTACGATTCCATCAAGGGTTTTCGCCCTCTATGCATCATGTTTGCTACACACTCTTATCTGACCTTCAGCTGAAGGCCTCGATGAATTTCTTCCTCGCTCGACGCAGCTTGTGTCTCCCAGCGCTTCCGTCTCCTTCGTGTGAAAATCATGTATTGTTCACGATAGACTTTAATCAATATCGGACATTTCGAGGCTCATGCTTCTGATAATTTAGCTAAGCTCTCAGCTGTTCCTACTGTCTATCGCGGGTAGGATAATGTGCTAGAAAGAGTAGTGCATGTTTGGATTTGATGGGACTCAGATTCGTTACCAGACCAGGGGATGTGACGCTACTCCCTCTAGTCACAAGATCCTCCTCACTTCCGCTCTTGACACTTGTAGAGTACTAGTCTCCACTCTCCATGTCGTCCTCGTCTTCACTCTCGTCTTCAAGGCTACTCTCACTCGTCACGCTAGAACCCGACAGGCTCCAGCATCCTACACTGTCAGCACAAGATTTGCTTGTACTAGAGGTTAGCTCGGAGGTGCAAAGCTCGAGTGTTTTGCATGGTGTAGTGTCACACGAAGTATCTAGCCAGGCATCCGTAGCGGATCTCTTCTGTACTTCAAGCACAGAGTCGTCTGGATCCAACTGCTGTCTTCCTACCCTACCAAGGCTCATGTTGTCCTCGTCTTCGATCGAGGTGGGTATAGTTGAGGTGTTTGGCGAGACATGACGTGTTCCGTTTGCCCCCGCGATCCATTTGTCCAGAAGCGGCCTGCATTCTGCACTGACCCTAGAGATAGAGATCTTGCCCCGTTGCTCGATTTCCTGCTGTTCAGCATGCCGCTTACAAACAAGGATTCTGACATGACGGCTGACTTTCTTATACGGCTTGCCCGTCTCCAGCTGCAACGTGTCCTGCACCATGTTCCAGAAGCCCGAAATATTTCCCCAATCAACCACATCTTTCAACTTGAGGCATATCTGAAGTAGGATGATTTCATCTTTCGGCTGGTAGTACAACTGAGTTCGCCTAGATTTTGGCACATTGTCTTTCCTTTTCACATCCTTTCTCATAAGCCCAGTTTGCGCTGATCTTCTCGATTCGTTCGGAGAAGCCGATGCTTTTGGGTATGATCCGCGAGATCTTGTGCCACGTGTTCCAGCCAATTCTTCAATAGCCATTGTTGGCTTCTTGTCGTTTTGAGAAGCCGATACTCTTGGGTGTGATAGACGAAGTCTTGTAGTACGTTTCGGCGCGACTTCTTGGACAGCCAGTGTTGGCTTCTCCTCAGCGATGAATTCCGTTCTATCTTCGATGTACGCTTCAAAACCAGTCGGTTCTGGAATTGCAGGCTCAATGGCTCTCGCAGGGTCCTCATTGCCGTTCATGTCATGTATACAACGACGCTGTGGCATGAGTCAGCTAGCTCTAATTGGATCGTAGGTATACTGCTGACATGTCTGTTGTGGCAGTCATTGCACGCTTTATGTATGTTTTGGCCCAGCGGCATACCATTGATTGGTTTGTGTTCGACACGTTTCATGGGTTTCGTGAGTGCCACGGTTTCCGCCGTATGATCGGTCTTCTCCGCTGTTTCTGTCACTGAGGCCAGTTCATTCTTCGCTTTCTGCACAAGCTGCTTCTCTTCAGGCATTTCTTGGCTGGCTTTGACTTCGAGAGCAGAGAGAGGCTCGCGAGAAACTATTGACGGGCTAAGTCCTGGCACGGCAGCATCTGTCTCATTTCTCCTTTTGTCGTGAGCTTTCAAGCGGTCCTTAAGTGATGAAACCAGACCCTGGGACGGGATACAGCGGCGGACGCAAAGACTGCAAGTATCTTCCGGACTCATTGTATCGTAATTCTCGGCTGTCCTCGGCTTGGCTTGGAATTCGTCGTCTTTTTCCAAGCGCTCGACAAGGTCGGAGTTCTTACCATGGCAGAGTAGGCCACGTGCTCTGAGTTCTTCTCTCATGGCACTCTGACTCAGGTTCTTGTAGCGTATGGGGAATACTTTGTCTGGTTCTTTTTTGCTGCAACCTTTGCGCGTGTCTTGCATCGGTGCTGCCTGACCAATCGGGGTTGTAGGTTCATGGATCTTTTGCGGAGCACAAGCGGATATTGAATTAACGATAGGTAGTTGAAATAGAGGAACGAAAGGCGAAGGAGCAGTAGGTACGGGGAGTGGATTCCTAGAGATAGCAGATCGAGAGGCAGTAGCAGCAGGTGGAACGTTCTTGTTGACATTGGGGTGATCGGTATCAGCTGCAGGCGGTCGGTCCTTGGTGGCATAGGGTCGAGGGCCAGCAGCTGGGAGCGTTAGGTGTTTGGAGACATAAGGTCGAAATGCAGTGCCTGCAGGCGGTATATTCCTAGAAGTATAGGCCGCAGGGTCAGCAGCTGTGGACGGTAGGCCTCTAGAGATACATGGTCGAGGCGCAATGGTCTGTGGTTCCTTGAATGAATAGGAAGGGAGAGGGGTTGGCGGTGTCGCGAAGTGTTGAGTAGGTATAGTGGGATGTTCGGGCGGGTGGGAAGGGCGTTGCACGCTCCTCTGACAGTCTGCCATGAGTCCGCCAAGGTACATGTTGTAGTCCGTCATGGTCTCTGCTGCCGAGAGGCTCGAGAGTCTAGTCGACGCGCAAGAGCGTAAATTTAGCGTGTGAATAACTCTTGCAAAAGCTTGGCATCACGGTTTGTCCCCACCGCAACACTTTATAGGTGGGATTACAAACTCGAAAGACATGTTTTAGAGCTTAATTTTAATTTTTGGGGACAGAGCTGTAGCTATTTCCTGAATAAAGATACAGACAGTACAATTCGTTTCGACTAGAACTTTCATCAAGAAGTCATGCAGAACCCCTCCCGCAAAACTTCGCAAACCTGTCCCCTCTCTCCAAGTCCCTCACGACCAAGCAACGCCATCGACCTCTGCGCTTGTTTATGCGCACATGATGGACGCTTATCGCTTTTGAAGCACACTTGACTCCAGGGCAGCGGAGCTTACGCTGGGGGGGCCTGGGGTTGAGTAGATTGCTTGTTGTGATTTTGCAGGGGAAGAGTCCGTCTCCGGTTGCTGATTCTGGACTCGGTTTCGTCTCGACAGATGTCTCACTGGTTTGGTACCGATGTAGACTTCTGCCTTGCGTACGGGCGGGCTTCGAGTTTCCATGAGCATGAATATTAGCATAAGGAGCCATGATATACTCATGGGGCTCCCGCGTCAGCTTGAAGTCGGTCTCTTCTTTGTATATACGCGTCAAGCGCATCCCTACCGTGATGACACCGTCTGATAATTCTCCGATGTGCCACATTTCAAGAGGTGGCAGATCCTCGAATGTTCCTTATTTTTCGATGACCGCACATTGGTGGTTATCGAAATCGGTGCTGTCCCGTTCTTGCTCGACATATGGTTTCGAGTACAAGTATGCTTAGGTCTACCCTCAATTGTAATGCCGCTACTAATATTTCTCAGTTCTGAACAATCCATCATACCTTTTGCGCTGGAAAGCCTTTTATACCATTCTGTTGCCTCTAGTCTATACGCAGACGAGCAACGTGAATAATTACAATCCGAACACGACAAGGAGCGGAGAGCATGACATGAAGAGACCGCGTCAGTCTCGCGAAATGCCAGCGACAACGTGGACGTCTTCCCGGACAGCATTGCTGTGTTCCGACTCGATCAAGTCACAGAGAGCTTCTTCCGTCCGTCCGATCGTGACGCTCCGCAACGAGTCTCCAAATATATAAATGCATACGATCGCGCAGAGCCCCGTTCGCCGTAAGGTGACACGAGGCCCTTTTGGTCCGTACTCCACCATTACCCATCGGCCACATCCCAACACTCACGTGCGTCACACCATATCCCCGGAAACCCTCCCCCAATCTGCTCTGCTCAGCTCCACCCCTCCGCCCCACTCTCCCCTCCCTGAAACCCAGCAACCTCCACATCCCCATCCCACCCGCCAACGGCGCCTCACGCAAGAACGCCGGCGTCAGTCGCTACAACCGTGAATAAAGCACAACGATAAAAAAAACCAACCGCTCCGCTCCGTACCCTTGCATCTATTCTGCCCAGGCCATGGCCAGCTCGGGACGGATTTCAGCCAAGGAGTGGGAAAGGGGTTCGGATTGGGAAGTAGGCCCCGTGTCGACGCGGCTGGAGATACACGTCGTCGCTGGGCTGGGCTGGGCTGGGCTGGGCTGTGCGGTGGGTCGGGAGGAAGGGAAGGAAGTCCATACGAGCTATTTTCATGCATCATCAACATTTCCGCAGCGATGTCTGTTCTGTTCATCTAGGAAACGACGCCATAAACGACCGACATCGAAACAGAGTCGAAAGAGGAACCATCCAAATCCGGTACGGCAGACCCCAAGTACTATACTCCCACCACAGATCCTCGTCAAGCGCGTCGAATGCAGAGCTCGCGACGCCGCTTCGAGCTTTCGATTAGGAATATCGCCGGATGAGGAGTACACTGCGGATGAATGGTAAAGGCTGGAAGGGGAATGGTTTGGAATGGTAGGGGGCTTTTAGATCTTTTGGGGGGATCTGGCTAGTTGATGGAGACAGTAGGAGGTAGAGCGAGTTCGAAGTGTGCATGGAAGGAGCAAGAATGCACCTGATCGCTCCGATATGAAGGTGTGAATATGGACAATGAATGCTAAACGAGCTATGGACATAAAATAGGGAGCGAAAGAATTAGGGATATAGTGTACATGAAAACTCTCATGAAAAATTAACTCCGTCGCCGCAAGCGTCAATCAAAATTAGTAATTAGCAGACGAGTCGCCCGCAACAGGCACAATCGTACTCGTCACAACGCTTCCTGGAGGCGCATAGCCTATAGGTGACTTCAGGTCAGCAATTTTCGCAGGACCGTTTCGATCTCGAGGCATCACTCACCGCCTAAATTGGTAACTGCAGCGGCCACCTCCCTCCAAAATCCGCATACACTCTCCGTCGTCTCACTATCACTAATCACACTAAAGCCCAAATCTCCCGCATTCAAAACGTTTGTCAACACATCAGCGTTGCTACTCCCAGCTTTAGGCCAGTTGATCGCGGGCGGTATATTAAGCAGCTTGGCATAGGTATTCGGATCTCCACTTCTCGCATGTGACACGATGTAGGATTGATAAGTTTGTGCGAAGGAACCAAAGCCGGGGATGAGCGGGAATGGTGCATTGTCGCCGAGAGCTGTCAAGTCTACGTTGAGGTCGTAGAATGTGGGAAGGAGATCTGTACCGTGGAAGCCTGGCGTGACTGAATATTGAAGGTTGTAGTTGATCCCGTTGTACGCATCGCTGAGGTAGCGGACGTTGCATTGGAACGAACTATCGGCCAACAAAGCTTTGGTGCGGTCGAACTCGGTAGTGTAATTAGAGCTTCCGCTCATGACGGGCGGGTAGCGTGCTTCGATCACAGCGTTCACGCCAGCACTTTGCCCGTAAGGTGGAAAGACTTCAGAGACGAAGGTTGAGAACTGGGCGTCGGTTGTCACGTCCGACGGGACGAATATGAAGGCTTCATCGGAGACGTGGCTCAGGATCAACGAGTCGATGTCTTTGTAAAAGTTCCCTGATGCGTATTCCAGCACAGCCAACTGCCGAATCAAACTCCCATCAGCAGCCGGCCCAACAGCAAAAGTCCCCTCGGGGCCCTGCTCGTTCAATTTCGTATTAGCGCTCTGCAAAGTCTCCGCGCTCGCAGCCCTCAGACAAGCAAGGCCTTGACCAGCGCATCCAGCTAACGTCGTAAAATTCTGGAATGTCTGCTCCAAACCTCCTTTGCGGTCAAATAAGAATTGAAAAGCTGGGCTCTGCATTACTGCTTTGCTGAACAGAGGATCTTGGCTTCCGCCAAAGGAGACGAGATGGTGCAATATGGAGCCTGCACCGGCTGATTCGCCCCAAGCAGATACTTGGGTTGGGTCGCCGCCTACAAGGGAGATGTAAGACTGGATCCATTGGAGGGCAGCGCGTTGGTCGTAGAGGCCGGCATTCGGGAGGCCGTCAGATTCCATCGTCGTACCGGCGAGCCAGCCGTAGGCGCCGAGCTGATTTCTTGTCAGAATTGACAGGGGCGAACATTGGCTAGGAAAGGTGGATCTACCCGGTAATTACTCGCGACAAAAATAACATTCCCGCCTGACTCCTGTAGTATACCGGTCCCATCGTACAATGGCAGTATGTCTCCAAAAGAATCTTTGCCTCCAAAGATGTAGGCTCCTCCATAGAACCAAGATACGACCGGTAGCTTCACCGATGGGTTCTCCACGGCTGCGGCTGGAACGTAGATATCCAAGAACAGACAATCTACGCTTTGATCAACACTCTTTTACCTACTGCGGGACAGAAACATGGACATACCTTCACTAGCATTGGCAAAGTACGGGACTGGTATCCCCGCCAGAAATTGATTCGCAGCCTCCCCAACCGGACTGCTGGCGCCAGGTCCCGTCAATTGAGGCCCTTTCAGAGGTGCTTGGATACAAATGGGGCCGTAAGAGCCATCTTGGACTTCGGTCTCCGTCTCCGGCGCAGCTGGTTTAGCCCATCGAAGATCTCCGACGGGCGGGGCGGCGAAGCGGATGTTTTTGAAGGTGTAGATCTGTGAAACAGATTAGAGGTAGGCACGAAAGAAGTGTGGAGAGAGAGGCAGACGTCGCCATCGGGGTTGTAGTTGGCGGCCTGGTATGTCGCATATGGTAATTTCAAGGTAGGCAGGGAGCCCGCTCGCTTATCGAAGCTAAGGCCTAGACCTGCTGGAGCTGTACGACATAATGCCGCCAAGGATAAGGCCAAGGCTAGTGTTTGCTTCATGTTGGATCTCCGAAGTGGTCATTCGAGGTTGGTGAGATTGCAGGCATGGTGTTGGGCCCCAGCATAGCTTTATGACGGTCGTGGCTGCCATCAAAAAAGGAGTAAGGAAGGGCAAGAGTGGATGGCCAACCTCGGCACCTGATTGTGGGCGATGAGATGCCATTAGCGTGGATGGTAGAGCAATGTAGTCACAGCCATACAAGTCATTTAAGAATGTAAAGTCAGCTGCAGTATCAAAGGTAGATGCCTTGTTCGGATGGTAAAGGAGGCATCTGGAGGGATGGAATTGTGAGGCGGGATAGGGAATATCGGTCATGGTGCCAGATGCAGGGGCCCGACCGAAGCTATTCTCGGTACTCTCCCGCTTTCCCGCCTGCCCCACTTTCTACTGGCCGCGCCTACGGGCCTCTCTCACGCGAGTCACACAAACATACTTTAATCCCAGTCACACACAAAATTCAAGGTATCGCCGAGCCCCTAAATGAGGCACCACAGCCATTGGTAGAGCTATCATGCATACCTGACATGCATAGATCAAATGATGCATGAATTAAGTCGGCAGAAGGACATGACACGCCCCACATGCCGATGCCGTCCACCTATTATTGTCTCCGCCTTCGAGATTGCTGATAGAAGCATTCCAATGGAGATAAAACGTCCGTAGCATGGCCAATAATGATGGTAGAAGGATCTCAACCAATATCCGTGCGAAGATGGGATAATCCAGGCACGCCAATAAGCTGTTGTATCGTGACGTAAGAGCGTTGATTAGCCCCCCACACACACACACACACAGAAGCGGAGCCCCGGTCAAGTGGCAAACGGGTGGGAAGGGAGTCCGTTGGATTACCGTCCTCATGCAACAGATCTTAGCGTCGTGAACTTGCGACTCAGCCGCATTGCTGATGCAGGTACCTCGGAAAGTATCTATCTTGCACGGCAGGTACTCAAGAGGCGTGCAACCATTCATGACTTGCTCCGAAACGTTCGAGCGAAGAGGGAAGTTGTCCTCGGTCATTCACCAGGCCGGGACGGTGAACGGACATGAGGAAGGCGAGCTCTCTGCCAATGATCAGATACCAATTCTGAGCGAAATGAATGAAAACATCCCGATTGGATGGAGGTCCGCTCTCGGAGTTCATCTACTATTTAAAGCCGAAGCGTCCAGATGTCTATGGAGATCCAGCAAGTACCGTGATACCTGCCACAGACACGATAACGCAGGAGTCAGGAGTATTAATGGGTATGAACCTGTCATACTCTCATGATTCTCTTGTAATTCCACAGGCTTCATAGCCGACCCGACTCTCTTGAAGCCAGCTGAATAGTATACTAGTCCACGCAAGACTTGCCTCTCCGGGCTTGCCCATTGGCATAAACCCGGGGGTGCCCGCACTTGATAGCCCGACGACCCTATCATGCTCTATGTACTAACACAACATCTGGCTTCTGGTTCGCAAGACCCCACGTTTTCCCCAATGCCGCCATTTTACGCAATACCCATTCCTTCTCTTCCGGTTTATCCAACATTCTGCTGATCGCTTTCAATGAGAGTATGATGAAGATGGGCCCCAGAAATGCCGCGGTGGATACATTTTCGACTGATTTGCAGATCTGGTGGGCGCAGTGTCTGTTTTCGGCCATGTACATTGCCCGTCGCTTTGCGGTGTCGTTTGGGCTCATGGTGGGACAGTCGGATGGGCTGGTTGCTGCTGGTGTTGAAGATCCAGTGGATCTAGTCCTCATAGGCACGTCTGTAATTGGGGAAGACGATATCCGATCTGGCAAGGTTTGCGGGGTTTCTCCGCTGCTCGTGACGTTGGTCTTTCTTGTAAGAGCAGCGCTTTCGACATCTCGGGGCGGCGTAGACTCTGCGACGATGACACTGGTCAAGGTCTCGCGAGAGAATACCATGTTGCGCGCTGCAAGTTTTTGGGCTGGTGTCATCGGTTCCCGGGACGTTTGGAAGGTCGATTCCATGGCTGAAAGCTTAGCTTCTAGCCCAATCAAAGCGATGTTCAAGACTTTCAAAAGCGTCCAGTAACAGCAAAAAAAGGAGGCGACAAGAATGCCATGGTACTGATAGACGGTGGGAAACACCTTGTCGTCGACAGAAGATGGTACTTCTGTGGGTTCTTGTCCGGCCTCCGTCAATGCCTCAACGCATTTCTTGTGAATGGCTTTGTGATTCGACCTGTGCATATGCCCTCGGCGGACCAGATCCTGCAGCACCGAGCGATCCCGGCCCCCACTCGCCATGTAGTGTACCGCCTCCATAACGTACCCAGGCTGCTGCACAATCTCCTGAAAGAATGCCTCTCGCGCGTCTTCAAACGCACTTTTACTAGCCGAGGAGTCGTGAATCTCTTGGGATAACTTCCGCCATGGCGCCAACGATAGGAAACATGGCTTCCCTGTATGGTACGATTCCAAAACTATCGAGTATCGGCAGGCTAGAAATACAGCTTTATCAAACTCCGTACGGTGCCGAGCCACTCCACGGAGCTGCATTAGATGGGCCGCCCCGCCCGCATGGCGGACCCACGAGTTATGTTCCGTGCAGTTCAGCAGTTCGTAGAATGTGAGGAGAACCGTCGCACTAAGAGTGTCGGAATCAAGCCCTTCTGTTGGGTCTTGGAGAGATTGGTTCAATTTGAGTAGTGTTTTACCGTAAATCAAGCGGGAGTTCTGCACCAGATTTCTGTCCCGTGTTTGGCGGCCCAAAAACGAGAGCGATATGGCGCGGATAGCGTGATTAAGGGTCGAAGATACTTCGGTACGACTTGCCATTTGAGCAAGCCAAATGCTGTGGCAATTGAAGGTTGGTGCGATGTGCACGGGATTATCCGACACAACTGTACCGAGGAACAATGAGAGCAGCTGGGATTGGTATGCTGTCGGTGACAAGATGGACACCAAAGCGGATCTCTCGATGTCTTGGGATCGTCCACTGTTATCCGGTACCGGATTGATGCCACTTTCACGAGAGACATCCTGGGTCAAATACTCGAAAGGCGCAGAGTTGACAGGTCTACTACCGGAAGAAGTCAACAATGATGGGGGTGACCCCCTATCGATAGGTCTTTCGCCTTTATCGTCCGTCTTGTATAGATCCCGAATTGATGGGCCCTCGTCTACGAAGCTTATAGTCTGGTAGCCAGGACATTGCCGACCAGCTTTTCGGCACCGCAGACAGGTAGGTTGCTCTTGGTCGCACTAGACAGCAAGTCAGCGCATGCGATAGGCTGCAGGCTAAATTATCTTTGCGTTTCGATGAGGCTCTTGATTTTAATGATCCCAATCCGGCAAAACCTGAGGTTGCCCCCTAAGCATGTGGGTTGAGACATGCGCGCAACAATGTCGGCTAATTTGGACTTGCTTACCTTGACACGGCGTTGTACACATACTCGGCAACCTTCGCGAGGGTGTCAGCCAACCAAGCGATACAAAGATTTGAGGGCCATTAATCACCTTTGCTTCTTGGTGCTTTTACCATTGTACGGTTTTGAGTGACGCTCTCTTGCCTTCCTTTTTGAGTAGGATCAAGATCGGTCTAGCATTAGGAGCGCTTGGGATGACGCCTTTTGATCGCGAAGTGTGTTTAGGTATATATATCGATGCAACTGCCAGTAGCATATATAAGATAAATCATTCGGTAGTGGCCGGTTTCTCTCACTGCTCAGCCTCAAACGTGGGTTAATTAACTTTTTAGTCTGCATCAGCCACTCAGCTGTCTCGCGAAACACCACGAAAAAGGTTAGCCTGGAAACTATACGAGATCTACACCAACAATGCTTGAAATTTCTTTTATCTTGCTCTACCGATATCAAGATAGAAAACCTAAATCTACAAGCTATCTCAATTCTCTCAGGGTTGATCCCAATACAAGGGACGAGCTCTTGCCATAGTCTGCACGCTGCATCAACATCTGTTGCTATGTCCTTCCGTCTCTGTCGATATGTGAAAATCTCTGCGTCTATGTTACGCAACTCGTCTTCGGTCTTCGGAATCGGCGTAAAGGCCCAGATCAAATTTGTACAGATCATTCGAAGACTTTTTGGGCGCTGCTTTAGAACGCAAACAATCCACGACCAGAGAATTATTCTATCATAATCAAGATCAAGGGTATATGAGTCTCCTAGACGGCTCTATATGTTTCGTTTACTGGAGGTGGAAAACAACAAATAGATAGCTCGACATGACTCATCTGGAACTTCCATCAACCGCTCTCAACATCGGCAAAGGATCGTCTATACCAAACAAAGGCCATGATTGGTACCATTGGGTCCAAAGTACCATCACATTGACAGTAGCACGATCAAGCATACCCTTCTCGGTAAACCGGCGCTTGATTCGCAAGATTTGCCGGCGCAGAAGGGCCAGGCTCATACACCGGCAGACGCTCATCCGGAACATCAAAATCAGGATGGCAGTACTGCGGGTTCGGCGCTTGTGCTTGCTGCGCAATATACTCCGGATTTGGGGAGTAGCCATGCTGGGCCCTGCCCCACGGGGCATAGCTAACAGAACCGGCAAGAGGTGGTATCTGCGCTGTTGATGGGTTGTGATATGGCTGGTATAACTCAGGATGGCTGGCTTGATGGTTGCGAGCGTTAGCGTGTAGAGCGTTATTGAGTCTGTTGGTGACTACTGTCCGAAGATATATTTCCACGGCTTGACCTTTTTCCTTGTTGGGACATTTCGTACACTCGTCTATCGGACTTCTGCCGTATGAAGAGCCGCTTGTCCGGGCGCTGTCATCCGCGCGATGGCGGCAGAGTTGTTGAACGGTTTCCAAATCTCCCCTTCTGGCTGCAAGATGTAATGCAGTGATCAAAGTACCTGGAACTTTAGCATTCACCTTGGCCCCCCTCTGGAGCAACAAATTGGCCAAATTAGTATCCTCGGTCTCAACTGCCATCATGAGCGCTGTCGCCCCTTCTGGAGTGGGAGCGTTGACCAGAGCCTCGTGATCTAAGAGTAAGAGGGCCATTTCGAAATCGTGAGTGCAGCATGCATAGTGTAAAGGAGTCATCGAAGACCCTTTTATCCTAGTGTGAGACAGCACCTGCGACACGCCGAAACTAGGCCCGGCCCAAGGATTGACGTCGACAAGCTTCGTCAGAAGATATTTCGCAAGTTCCAGATCTTTCTTCAGACAAGCCAGGTGTAGCAGCGTCTCGCCTGATTTAGTTTGCTTGTCAAGGTCTGCTCTTCCTGTAACAAGTGCTTCGATGGCAGATGGGTTTCCTCCCCAAACAGCGGAGTGAATAGGCTGATTACCATTAGCATCAAAGTCCCATCGCTTTGCCCCGTTTTCCAGGAGGGTTTCGATCATGTTTGCCTGTCCAGCTTGTGCTGCCAAATGCAATGACGATGCAGACTTTGCGTCCACTGCGGCTATCTTGGCACCGCTTCGAAATAGTGTGTCGAATGAATCGCGGCGTTTCGAGATGATTGCTCGGTGAAATGGTGTTCGTCCCCAATTGTCCTTAGAATCGGTGTCAACGCCTGCTGCAATAAGTGTCTTCACCATACCTCCTTTGTCCAATTCAGCGGCTATGTGTAATGGCTTTGAGCCTTCTGCATCAGACGCTTCTCGCAAGTTCTTCTGCGACCTAACGCCTTTGACTACATCTGTTGCCCGAAATAGTATTGAAGGTCGGTGCCTCATCTGATCAGGTCTAGGCGGAGGATAAGCTTCTAACAGCCATTTTACGGCAGCCAATCGATTGCTTGCCACTGCTATATGAAGGGCGGTCCTTCCGTTAGCATCTACGGCAATCTCGTCGGCGCCAGACCGCTTGAGCAACTTCATACACTCGATGTGCCCATTCATTGCCGCTCGCATCAGAGGGGTCTTGAAGTTGTCCGATCTTGAGTCGACGTTCACCTTTTCTTTCAAAATCTTTTGGACCGAAATCGTATTGCCAGATGCCGCAAAATCGCCGAGCGTCACACCCTTTGTTGAACCAGGCAGAGATGGGAAGCGCATGAGGTTTGATCGCGCTTTGCTAAGTCGAGGATTCGGGGAGTTTGCAGGTGCATTGATGTCCTCAGCTGGTGATCCTGCCAAATATGTACGTCTGATGACTTCGATTGATCGCTGCAAAGAATCTTGCACTGTGCGGCTGTCGCCTCTGACTTTGGCTGTAGCAAGCTTGTTCTGTAATCTGCGTAAATCAGACTGCGCTTGATCCCGATCCAATCCTGGCGCGTGAGTACCGATAGAAGTTGCTGTGGTGTTGCAGGTAGAGTGTTGTAAGCTCAGGATTGTGCTGTCTTCAGGCGCCTCGGAAGAGGATATAGTGGACGTTGCATCATGCGCAGACGAGCCTCTGTTGGAAGATAGCGTAGATTGCTCGCTTTCAGGATTCCTGGATTCCGTGGATGGGGAGAACACAAGAGCTGGTGGACTTTGGGAAGATAAGACTTTCGCGGGTGCAGCGCGTCTAGGAGGAGGTTGCATGGTTAAAGGCAATTCTGTGATCACCTGAGGATGAGGGTTGCTCATCTCTGGTGCCTTGACATGCTGCAGGCCAAGGCCGGCAGTGGACCGCGACGTCTCGATCCGCTCGATTTCTTCAGACCCCGGCTTGGCAACATTGTCTACAGGAGGAGTGGAACGCGTTGCGAGATCCCCAACGTGCGTAGGTTGTTCGACGCTTGTGACCTTTGGGAAAACGGGCAAGACACTCGTTGAACGCTGGGACTGTGACTCATTCGAAGTGTCAGCACCGGCACTCACTGGGTTCTGTTGACTCTGGTCCAGTATACTGGAATTCATCAAATTTCTGTCAGTTGCAATTTGTTGTACATCGGCGCTTCCGTATTCTGATTGCGGACTTAAACGGACAAGATGATGTATCTCCGCCTCCAGTATATCATTTTCCAAAATGTGGTCTGTTGCACCACCATCCCTGCAGGAGACACAAGAATATGGAGAAGACGTCCTAGTACTTTGCTCCTTCGACACCGCGATTATGCTGCATTCATAGAGACTCGAGTGTGTTGACATCGGCCTCTGAATTTCTTCTCGTAAGCTTTTTTTGCCACCGAGATCAAGACCCAAGTCTTCAGATTCCGGCTTCTTATGGCGCCTGAGATCTTTCGAACGTTTGCGAGAGACAGCTTGCGAAGTCTCGTCTCTTGTGACAACAACTTTATGGCTCTCCTCACTTTGGAAAAGCATGGCCGTTCCATACAAGAGCCCCAAATCACGTTCACCGTTATGGGAAGGGCTCTTCCCTTCAAACGCAAGATTCAGCTGGTTCCTAAAATCCTCGAGAGCAGAAATTTGCTCTGTGTCATCGACTGCGGCTGGGAGCGCTGTTGAGACAACCTTCTCGGCCTGCATCGACAAAGATTTAACCTCCGAAACACTGTCCTGGGAGAACTCAGCGCCGGTCGTTTCCACTTCGCTGTTAACGCTCTCTGTTACTTCTTCTTGACGCTGCAGCGGGACATCGGGCTCTCTTTTTGACTCTTCATTCAGTTGCGATGCAGCAGCGCTCCCCTGCGTCTCCCCTGGAAGCTCAAAGACATCGCTAGAGTCCGCCATGATCGTCGCATCAACATTGTAGTCCTGCTCTTCTTCGCCAGGATAAAAGTCCCAGACATTGATCCTGCCTCGACTCTGGGGCATCGATTTCCGAATTGGTCGTGAGGGCAGAGGTGGCGGTTGGAGCGTTTTGTTTAGGACAGGTGTGGGTCCTGGACGGGCTTCCTGTTCGCTATTTCCAATGGGACTCGCGCTAACTACAGGTGATATACGCAGCCGCGCATCTCCATACACACGCTTGTAGGCAGGCGATTTCATGAGTATAGAGTCGATATCGAGGGTCACGGATGGATTCAGTGACAATACAGAGGCCGCATCTTGGAAACCCATGTTGTCCAGCGCCAGGGATGCTGTCTCTGCCCGCACTTGCTCTATTATAGTTCGACTCTCCTCGTTTGCAAGCTTTTGCCTCTTCTCCGTCGCAGTCCTGCATTGGAAGATGGTCAATAGAAGCTGTAGAGCCCGGACCTGACCTTCGAGGTTTGATATGTACTCTTTGAGAATGTCTTCCAGCCAAAGGTACTTGATCTTTTGTTTCAGCCCAGGCATATGGCCAGAGTCGTCCAGTTTGCCATCGATAACGCTGATCAGGATTGCACAGCAGCTCAGGGACATACCCAGGTCCTTGTCGAGTTGCCTTGAGGGTCCAGTCGAGTCTCGGTCGCTTGCTCGCCATTCATAGAGAGCTTCTAAGGCGGCTCGAATTGTAGACAGCTGGCTGGCGACCAGGGTAGTGTTGAGCGCGACATTGTTGTAGCTCTCTCTAACTTCGTTCAAACGCTTAGCTACTTTGGTGACGCTTTCGATAACTTGCAGAATGGAGCTGATGCCAGCGATGGCTTCCATACCTTCCTATGCACAGGCTGTGGAAAGTAAAGAAACAGCCCGGATGGGCAGATTGAAGGACTGCGCCGATCCATGGCCAAATCGTCGAGGGCTGGGCGAGGCGAGCTCTCTCCGAGCACAGCCGCACAGAGGATTACAATCCCTGTTGTTGCCAAGCTTTTTCGGGGACATATTACTCCTACTCCGATTATCTTATCTAGACTAGCAATTTCACAATCCAGATCGTAATCCTCCGTTAGCTTTTCCAATCTTCCAAGCGACAGTCGTGGGAATATAGTCACAGTGATTGAGGTCAAGACGCTCGGATGGCGGTCACGACAACGGCTTTGATGCCTTGTTGAACGCTATCGTGCATTGCTAAAGGAGATAGCCAGCTGGTTTGACTGCCAGTCCAATTCTCTGCAACATCAAGGAGCAAGATTAGTGGCATACCTAGACTTTGTCCCTCGCCAATATCTTGTCTTTAATTCATTTCTTATTTAACCTCCGGTACTCTTCGATCCCGTCGCCAGCCTGAACTAAAGATTTGTTGTTACCGTACACCTTCATGGCTTCTAAATCATGCGGACCCCTCATTCACTCGGGCATCATGCTTCCTTCGACAATTGTTTGACCTTCGCCCCTACGACGAAAACGCTGCTTTGCCTATTCATTCAAAAATATCTTTCCTATCCTCAAATATTGCTCTATTACATTTATATCATACAGCACAAAACCCTCACGATCCTTGGATCAGGCGACCGCTTCTCCCGTAGATGCCGTGATTCAAGTAGAAGAGCCTTCAACTTGGATAATCACTTTAGTGAAGCCTATGGAATGGCAAAAGGGCTTCTCGAGATTCGCAATCTCTTTTCATGGATGACTTGGACAATTTCTCCCAAAGATGGCTTCATGTAAGCCAAAGGGCCGATGGCTAAACAGAGCATCTCCAGCTGAGTAGAGCTCGCACAACATCAATACGGTTGTGGGACCCTCTTTGGGATTACGAAAGCCTCATCGTAGGTTGGTGGGGGTGGTGTTACAATACCTTGCACCAATGGTTCTCCAAGTTCGAAGTTGGTGTATTGAGCCAATAGACTTCTTACCAATTCGTCATCTGATGGTTCGCTGGCGAATTGCGGCTCCGTCCATCGTTGGCTACCAGGACTCTCCCCTTCGTGCTGGTGGACCGGTGGCCTTTCTATCATTTTGTTCCTGATAATACTCGTCTGTTCTTTGTGCTTCTTCTCATCGATGTCCTGCTTTCGCTCCCACTCATCCGGTCTTCTTCTCCAAAAAGAGGCCGTTGGGTATGCTTGACTTGGACGCCTCCTTGTCTCGAGAGAGGGCACTGGAGGTACTCGAGCTGGACGTCTCCTTCTACGTCTTTCATTACCCCCTGCAGGCGGCGAGGGGCTTGGCTCAGGCTTATCCGCTTCTGTCCCATGGATGCTGTCAGAATCGGAATAGCTAACGTATGCATGGGGGTCAGAATTAAACTTGTAATGCTGCGCCTCATGCATTGCATATCCCTGTCTGTGGATGGGGCCAGGCGATTTATGTTTTATGTTGGTCCCTGAGGATTTGGATATGCCAACTCGTCGTTCGATTATCAATCTGAACTTGCGACTAGTGACGTTCCCAAACAAGTCATGAGAGCCTGTCCAGCTTTGAGATGAGATTGACCGCATGGTTGGGTCATCTGGGTGTGATCGATTGTTACCTAGGACCCTTCCGAGTATGGCGTCCCGTTCCGGAACGGACAAGCTATCTATCATCGAAGCAATCTCACGAAAAGCTTGTGGCGAAGTTTCCAATGCTCTTTCAATTTGTTGCTGAGATATCGGTATTGGCGTGATTAGGAAATTTTGGAAGCTTTCGTCAGACGAGGTGTTGGGAGTAACAGACCAAGCTTCCAATATATTTCGAACTTCTGAAGAATTCCTGGAGTCAGAGTCCTCGGTATCGCCGGCGTCTAAATCTTGATAGCCGCCTCCACCACCACATTTTGAGATCAGCTGTTGCCGCCTCATTGCAGCTATCATCCGAATGAGATCGTTCTGCTCTTCCCGGTCGAGGCTGGCTGTGGTGTGGGCATGTCGTAGGTGAACGACTTGAAGTATCAATGTCAGCGTGCCTTTAGCATCTCTCAGTGCTCCCTTGAGTGACTCCATGGAAGGCTGCAAGAATGGCCATTTCATGCGCTCCAGTCTCGACAATTTGATCTTTGCAGATGCGTCTTGGCTCTTCGTCTTTTTCTTATAAACGTCCCGCAGTTGCTGACTAGCTTTGCCCAGGATGTTTTTGAGCTCGTCGAATATTTTTTTGCATCTAGTGGAGGAAGCCACAATATTCTGGACTTGATCGGGGTTGAATATCGCGGTCGATTTCTTAGAAGGCATCTTCTTGTTCATGAACTCGCCTAGCTCTCGAAGCGTCCCGGCCGTGACCGAGACATCTGTACCAACATCTTGGATCCTCTTGGATGCCGTTCCGATCTGGTCCGCGAACGCGATCAGCTTTAGTGATATTTGGATTCCTGCTCCTGCAATGGCAAGGATAGAAGCAGCGCCTCCAACGGCCTCCATATGTACCGTACTGGGTTACAGTGTTCCAAGTCTGACGGACCCAGCAAGGAATTTGATTAAAGCATTTACTTGGTCACCGATACTAGGTGCGGAATATCTGTAGACCCTTTCGGTGAGGTATTGGTAGCGTCAAAGACACAAGCGCACTTTGCGGAGTATTGTGCTCAAAATCAAGAGCAAATTCGTCGAACAATTTTTCTTTGAAAGCGCTGAATAAAGGTCAGCCGAGTTAGAGGTCAACATCCTTAACAGCGATATCCATCCATATAAGGCGCATCTCGTCTGGGAATGAGCCTGCTGGGTCGAGGCTAACAATCGGGTGCAGTCGGGTGAAGCTGTCTGTCCATGCCCCACTCTTGGCTGTGGAAGAAAAAGGCTAGCAAATGAGAGCGCGGCCTATTTTCTGGCTGCGTAAGGCTGGCGGTCACTCATGATCTACAACAGGCTGTCATCTGATGGCGGTGTCGATAGAATGCGCCTTAGGCTGATTGTTTTGCGCGACGAAAGCATTGGTCAACATCGGACATCCCAATGGACCGCCCCTACATGTCAATAGGGGAAGAGGCAGGTGGCTACACTGCATTACTGTGAATACCAGAAAAGCACTAAAGGCTGACATGACTTTGCCTACCTAGACGACGTCCCTATCGCAATGGTAGGTCAATTTCCCTTTCGTCCGGCTGCATTTTGGCGTAAATGTCTCCGTTCATGCCCTCTAGGCTTGCGCAGACTGTACCAATTTCTTTTCTTGAATTATCAGGCGTGAGAAACAAAGGACAAGTGTCATTAGGTATGAAGATCGTGGTGTCCGTCAACAAACATTCGAACAGGTCATTGCCCGCATAACCTCGCCGACACACGATGCGAGAGCAGGCCTTCTATTTCGATAACAGCCATCTCTGGGGAGCAGCGAATGGAGCTTGCTGCAGCATCTCTACAGCCCAAAATCTGACGCGAAGTCAGCTCACACTACTTACTCCGCTTCAAGGCTCATGAGTGCCTGCGGCACTTAAACGAAGGCTCAAAGTCTGGGTAAGAGAGAACGGGAGACGCTGAATCGCTCAATATCAGCGAGCGATCTTCTCCACACCATGCTATCAGGGTTATCTTCAAAAGGGGACCATATGGCACCGGCATCAAACGCAAATTCAAATAGGCTGTATAAATCTTTACAAGCTGTTCCGGCGCCCTTCTGGTATAAACCTCACCTTGTAAACCTAGGAGACAATCATTTCCATCAATCTACTGGATGCAGGAAAGGTTCGCTTTTTCCACAACTTCCCGTTCTTTCTGCTCCATGAAGGTCATGGACACTCTCTGACCGTAGCAAAACATCGGAACATCACCTTCCGGGGCAAAGACAGTCAAAGCCACACCGCAGATTCAGTCCGAAGTCTCTACTGTCTCTTGAGGTACGATGATGGCGTCGCATGCAGAATCGATCGGTTTCTCCGGGTCTGTTGTTGAGATGAAAATGACCGCGTTGTTATCCAAAACAACCGCAAAAGATTGCGCGACATTTGACCACCGTATCCCTGCACGTACTTGATATGTGAGATAAGTTTCGTGGAGACCTTCATCTGTGACAGCGGCACTGTCTCAGCCTTGGCCTCCAGGGAGTTCGTCCATTGGTAGGCTACCTTGCACAGACATTAACGACTTCGGTGCCGACCCGGACTTTGGTTCAACGGACAAGATGGCAGCTCTTACGCTCACACGGTCTGGGACGAGGACACTGAAACTGGTTCCATCAATCTCTGCGATCCGTGGTTCGACAACACCAACTTTCCAAGCACTTCGGACGTGTTGGATGATTGCGGTGGTAACGATCGTACCGTCGAAGAGTTCGAAACTCCAGCTGCAACTTTACTACACGAATTTCTTTACCTTGGCATCTGCGACAATACCCAGGCACCTTTCAATCTGCGGGTGAGAGATATGGCTCTGTGGAATGCTATAATGTGCCCAAAACGACGAGCACCAGGCTCCGGAAAACGCAGACAATTGAATGCTTGCAACCATCGGCACTTATTGGGACAAGACGTGCAATCGCCGCATCTTGACGGGGGTACCCGCCCTTGACACCCCACCCATCACGAATGCAACTGCAACTGCTGGCACGCAGGCGACAAGCGCGGCTCCTGCACCATCACCTCCTCCTCCACCTCCCCCACCTTACGCACGGGCACATGCTCCTTCCCTTTGACAGAAATCCGGTATCACCATACTTACCCTCAAGCACGCCACCAATCAATCAAGTTCTTCACTCTGATCCTCTCAAAACCAGGACTAGCTGCCACCTCAAATTCGTCTCCAGGAGCCACCCACACAACACTCAACTGCACATGATCAAAAGTCATTTGATGCTGGATCGGCAGCCCCATTTTTGCCATTGCAATCCTCTTTGCTTGATCTATGTGTCCTTCCAACACGATTGCAACGACTTCCTTGTCGAAAACAGCGACTTCTTCCATCCTGCGCGTTTTCCCCGGGGTGGCCGGATCTCTAGGGTCAAACAGAAGCCGGATCCTCGTGGACCAAGCACCATAGTGGCCATGTGATATGATGACTCCGATCTTGCCATCGGCTCTGACGTAACGCTCTACCGGTTGATGTGTTTTTGAAGCTTCAGACTCAGCGTATGGAGGTGGAGGTGTGGTGGCATTCAACTGTTCTCTACCTGTGCCCGGGGAACCTTCAATTTCACTGGCTGCATCAGCATCGCGGGCTCCGCTTGGCGATGCCATCGCGTCAGTTAACCTCCTAGTGGCGTCCATCGCTCCAGACAGGTCCGGTGTGTTCCCTCGACCGCCCCCAGCTGTCCGCAGACGTTGTGGCATTTTCACAAAATTGACCAAAGTTTCTGTGAGCTTATGGTGTAGATAGAGTTCAAGGTCATTTTAATGTCGAAATGGAATTTTTCATTTAGCAGAAAACATACTGTTGGCAAGCAAACTTTTTTAGAAGCTCAATTGGACATATGCAATGCCACGTACTTGGTTCATGTCGTGTCTGTCAGCACACTAAGATCAAGTGCTTTATTTGTGATTCGCTTGGCCAAGTTGCTTGCCAATCCTCTTGCCTTCTACAGCAATCCAGTACCCTATTGAGTGTCCTATCTGGAAGGGTAGATGAAATGACAGCAGCGCTGGTTGCATGTCATCGTGCTGCTCATGGAAGTAGAAGACTTAATGAAGGCTTCAGCGTTATCTATTGCTTCTCCTTCTGTATCGAGGGATGACAGCAGATTGTCGGCAAAATGTAGATTAGAGCCATGTTCTACGGTCCAGAGGGATCTTCACCAAAACAAGAACGCCAAAAAGATGTGGACCAAGGCCGGTATGATGTGGCAGTATGATGCCTTGGAAAACAACAGATTGTTATAAAAAAGTGCGCGAGCAGCGGTACGAGGTGGCAGAGTAGAGATTTGGCAAATAGAACTCCGTTCCAGGAAAGAGGATGAGAGTCTGCGTCGAGTGGCAGGATGAGACTTCAACATAAAGAAATTATTGACAACGATCGGGAAAGATTCAGTGTTATTAGCAAACCGGGGCTTCAACAGGCAGAGCCTGGATGATATGAGTGGTCTTAGCGTCGTCTGTTCGAATGTAGGTAGCGCTTGGTAAGTTCGTTATTGAGTGGTTCTTACAGCTATTGAGATCGCAAGTAAGTCAACCAGCCTCAGCTTATTGTTCTCCGGCTCTAACATTCCCTGAACCAGTCTCAATATCAGTCTCTCCTCGGTTGCTAAAGCTATACAATACTAGTCTCGGGCAATAATGGAAGAGAACCAAAGATAAGGGATATTTCACTGGCAATGCTCTCCATGCTCCGGATCGTCGGTCCAAAGGCCTGGACATGTTCAAATTGAAGCCATTGTTGTGGTCTGCAATTCTTCCACCGTCTGCACATGTCCAGACCAAATGGAACCGTCCATCCTGATTGTCCAAGAGCCTAACGTCACAACATCTAGTGAAACTCTTAAAGAAACTATGCTCATGATACTCAGATATCCAACCCAAAATCAGGACATCGGACCATTGGTCCTGGCCGTCCATCCGCGTCCTCGTACATTGCCATGGCCGTCCGTTCGAACACCTGGACATGTCCATCCTAATGGTCCAAACGGTGGGGGCGGACCATTGGAAGCCTTGGATCATACTTGGCGGTTAGATGGTTGGCCCAGAACACTTTCCGGCAGCCCAGCTTTCCTGCACCAAGATGAATGGGTCTCCTACCGGTCACGCTTGCAATGCGTCAAGTAATTTCATTGTCGTTGTTGTTAGGGTCCTTGGCCACTCATCAACACACTAGTTGCCATAGTGTGAGGAGTGACATCTGTATCTTAGCCTCAAACAGGACGTCTTCGCGCCTCATCTACCCCTTTCATCCTCAATCCCTTCGCCGACATAAATCACGCCAACCTCGCTTGGTATGCGACTGTGACGGCGCCCGAGACGAGAGAACATCTTCTCGGACCGAAGCTTGCTTTTCGGCGCCATTGCACCTTGGACTGCTCTCTACCTGCCGTCAGACCTATCTCGAGGCTTTCCCAATTTTATGGTCAACCAATTTCTTCTGCTTTGAGGACAGCCGTGTCATGTTCTTCAAGAACCTTCGCCTCGACATAAACCACTTCGTTGAAGGTTGTGAGTGGGAACTCAACCTCCAAAAGTCAGACTTGGCATCTTTGCGGGGCCTGCGAGAGTTATAACTTTTCTTTAACACTTACGAGTCGCCCTCGACGATGGTGCGATATCGGGACTCACAGCTGGTCGACTCGGTCCAGAAGCTGTCAGCCCTACGACAGTCCTCCGCAGTGATCTCTATCAGACATGGACATGTTTATCACACTCACAGTCCGGGTGAATTGGCACTGAGTCTCAAAACAAAGGAAGCCCTTCAACGTCTTCAAGAAACGCTTGTCGATAAAGCGCATGCAGGCCGGGAGAGAGGTTGACCTGGGCCAGTCCTCGGTTTCGGATGCGCCAGAACATTCACCTTTTCGGACCAAAGATTGCGAAGAAGTTGCAGAAGGGGATATTGAGAGGAATGACTGGTTCTTTGCTAAGTAGTAGTGAACGTGGGAGGACTTGAGAAATGGCTGGCTGGTCGATGCATGATCGAGAATTTGGAATAAAGTCATAAATAGCCCGACACATGTATGGCGAATGCAAACTTATTCCTTCAGCTGCTCACACACTCGTAACACAACTTCTCGATGCTTTCATCATGTTATTCAGTACACACGCCCCCCATCCCTACTAATGGCGACCAGTCCAGAGTTTCCTTTCAAGGTTTACATACGCGAGTTCATGGACGGTCGTAATGACAGTTCTAGAGAAAAGGAAGTCGCTACCTAGCATTTGGGTCGGCTGTTGTTTGACCAACTCGAAGGTCAACTTCGGTTTCTGCTGTCTCGAAGCAGTTCTTCTAGGGTTGCAGCGCAGTATGATGTATGGACCGTCCATGTCATAGTCAAATATGAACAGAATACTGTTTGGTAAAAAAGTGATTGCGTCCACTCAAGTCTATCGATATTTCTGCCGTTATAAAAGGAGTGATTAGGTCTGCCCATGGTTTACCATCACCAAATTCACCCAGAGTGTGATGAGGCGTAAAAGGGACAGTGGTGATACCGATATCAAAATATCAAAAATTGCGAGTCATTAAAGAATGTGATGCCTGTATCACCTATGCATAGAAGACTCGCTCGTTCTCCACATTTTCTCGGCGAAGACCATTCATCTCCTTCTTCCCTTCAGCATGCCCATCGCTAGATTCTCGAGGTACTGCAGCAGTCCTGAGAACCCACCGTTCTCTACACCCCCTACGCACCAATGCTACTGGACCCTGATGCTTCGGCGTGGGATGAAGCTGGAGCTGGCTTGATTGCTCGTGCGGCCTGGCCGGGAATTTTCTGCCCCTGGTGCATGTTCTTGTAGTGGGCTGTGAGCTTGTCCTTTCTGGTGAAGCCATTGCCTTCTCCATGGTACTTGCATCCGATCACAGAGCACGCGAACGTGTTGGGACTGTTGCAATGTTTGGCGGTGGTATGGCGGCGGAGGTCCGACCAACGCTTTGAGCTGAAGCGGCAATTCTCGACGAGGCAGTAAAAGGGGGTTTGCGAGTTTTCTGGACCTCGCTCGTAATGGGTCTTCTCATGCTGCACCCGATACTCGGACTTTCTGGCCCAAATCGCAGGATCCCAGCTGCAGCCTGCAAAATGACATAGATACGGGATCGAGCCACGACTAAATACTATGCCTATTCCCAGGCACACCATGCAGGCACATTTCTTACTAGGGTTTGTGCTTGACGACTCTTGGCCCAAGCTTGGAGTGTCGACGCCACCTGGTGGTGGGATGGGAGCGGCGGTGACCTGGTCGGTATCATCATTGGCGGTGTTGGCACTGTAGCCAGGTATCGCTTCTGCTAGTGGCTGCGCATGCCCAAAAGTCGCACTTCCAAGCGGGTCCCTTCTGTGCCCTCCGGTTAGCCAATAAAAAAAAACCTCTCACCCATCCTCGCCCCCTGCGGCATCATGCGCGGGGGACACGTTATCGGGCCAATTGATGAAGGCGTCGAAATCAAAGTGATCGTCCATCGGGAAGTCCATGTCGATCTTGGCAGGTGAACGCCCTTTCGCTTGCAGGTTGGGGGTAGGATGTGTTGGCAATGGCCCCACTTCGGACGAGGCAGGAAATGCAGGTGAAAAGCTGGTAGCCAATGAGAGCTGCTGACGGGGAGGACTTGGTGGGCAAAAGTCTGAGAGAGAGGGTGAGGGAGAGCGTTGTTTATGTAAAGGTGCTCTACGCTAGCTCGCTAAATTAGGGCGTCTTGGAGGAGGAGGAGAGTAGGGTAGCTTGATGTCAGCTTGGGTATGGTATTCGATCCTGATTGGCAAAGTCTTCACCTGTACTTGTGCTAGCTCCTGCCACCGCGAATGCCGTCATCCAAGAGGCATATAACTGATCTTGTATCAGAGGGCTGACAGAGAAGGCCGACCCTTAACGCCTATTCGTATGGGAACACGCTACACTTAGTATGGGCCACCCCAACGCTAAGGCCACCCCAACACCAATTTTTTCAATTAATCTACCTACAGTTGAACGAAACAGTTCTACTATGTGGGTAGCAAAGGATATAGAATCTATAAAAGCCTACGGCAGCAAGATATTTATCCCACCAGGTTAAGCTATACTATATGTGGCTAGCTGTAAAAGCCTGCAAGGAAGTTACGCCTGTTAACTACTCCCATACAAATAAGACAGAGAGCCCCAGCGACTGAAGCTATTCGCAAGCAAGATAGCAGAAAGCAAATAAACTATAGTAAAGAATGTTCCTAAAGCCTATCGCAGGCTATATAATATGCATCATAGTGTAGCACAACAACAACAATAATCGTAGCAATCTGAAACTTCTATCTATAAGACTACTATATCTACTTTAGAACTCCCTCATATATAGGTCGGTTAATACTCTTTTAGTATGCGAGTTCGTTTAGGTTAACAAAGTTATCTATAATGATCCTAGGTAATAAAAAGCTTCTTACGAGATCTTCTAATATTCTACTACTATAATAAAATAGATAGAGAAGAATCTATTACTAAATAGCCTATTTGAGATATATAGGTCTTTAAATAATCTTCGTAAAATATATTTCTAATATATCTATTATTAAGCTATCTTAGTATAAAGCTTTATTTATATAATTCTCCGTAGTCCGAAATTCTAAATAATCTACGTTAGCGAGATTATAGCTTATTAGCCTTCTTCTAATAGAGTATAGCGAGTTCGTTTATATAATATACTACTCGCTTAATATCTTTATTATAGCGTATTATTATATTCTTCTTTTAACGTAATAACGCTACTTTAATAGTATTATAGACTTTAACTCTATATCTTAAATAAATATAAACTTTATTTCTATAAATAGCTTTCTTTAATTAAGTAGTTTACGTATATATATTATATTTTAATAGCGATCGTAAGATAGTAGTTATACGTGAAGTCTCTAATAAGAAACTAAGAATGATTTCTTTAGAAGAGATATCGAGATAGCTAATAACTCGCGAATTAATAGAACTTCTAATATCTACTAAGAAGTAATCCTATTCTTTTTCTAGCTTATAAACGACTTCTTTTAGAATTCGATTTATAACTTTAATTATATTAGTTAACTTATAGAAAGCTATAGAACTATAGTTAATAGTAATATTCTTATATCGTAGAAATTCTCGAAGCTTATTATAATTAAAGTATTATTTTTAATTAATATAGAAGACGTAAGACTTTCGATATATAGTAAAGAAATACTTTAAGTATTAAATAACGTTCTCGACGTTATTATTCTTATAAGCGAAAGATATATTAAATCGAGATATATAATAATTTAAGTTAAGAATAAATCTATTTTCTACTATTATAGTTTTAAGCGAATCGATAAAATTCATCTCTATAAGCTAAAAGAAATACGTTATAACGATAGAATTAAGAGATTAAGAACGAGTAATAAAATTATACTAAGTATATATTAAATATTTCTTAATATACTATTTTACGTCTTAAGATTAATCTAATTAATAGTAAAGATTACGAAGTTAAGTTATAATACCTATTTTAATCTAATAGCTATTAGAGTTATAAGCTTTTATAAAAATTAATAATATCTTAAACTTAGATATATATAATAAGTAAAAATTATTATAACGATAGATTTATAGAATATTATTATATATACGATAATTAAAAGTCTTTCGTAGTAGTACGATAAAGGGCGACTCTTTCTTATACTAATCTAAAAGAAATTTATAGATTTTATTAAACTATTATAACTTAAAGTATACTTCGTTCTATAAAGAAGCTATTATAATAATAAATATAGTAGCGAATATTAAGATACTATAGATAGTATCTTAATTAATAATTTAATCTTTTTCTACGATTATAAGAGAGCTAAGAAAAGCTTTATAATTATCCTTTTTATTCTTTTAGATTTACTTCGCGCTATACTATATAAGTCTACTATAAGCTTTCTATACTTACTACGTACTACTATAATTCGTATTAAATAAGATTCTTAATAATACGTTTACTATCTTATTTTTATAGTCTAATATATACTTAATTTTAAAATTAAGACGTTTTATTTAATCCGCCTAGTACTTATAAATTCTTTTATATATATTAAACTTTAGAAAGTAAGTAAGAGACTTATAATTAATATATATTATAGAGATATAATAAGAGTGCTTATATAAGTAGTTATACTTTTAAACGAACTCTATAATAATATATAATTCTCGCTTATAAATAGAGTACTTTCGATGAGTAAAAGTAAATATAAAAGAATTATAGATAATAGATACTTCTATAAGAAAGTTATCGAAGACTTTTATAATATAAATAAATTAAAATTAAGTAATAGTAATATCTTCTATAAAGTCTAACGTATTCGTATAAAAATAAATTATAAGATTAAGATTAATTTTATATATACTAGAACGAGTAGAATACTTAATCTTAAGAATCTCGAAGAATAGCTTCTTAGATATAGTCTACTTTTAATCTATCTTTCTCGTAAATATTATAAGAGATTTAATAATCTCTATAAAGTTCTTTACTTAACGATATATAATTTCTATTATCTCGAGAAAAGAGTATACTTTAATCTAATTTATAGAGGTAAGCTACTTAACGATCTTCGAGATTTAATCTTCTAAAATACGTATAAAACCCTCGATATTATATATAATATTAAGAGCCTTAATCTTATTAATAAAGAGCTTTAACTTCTTAAAAGATAGCCTTAGACGAGCTTACTCGATTCGAGATAAAAAGTACTTTCGTAAGAAGTTATACTATTTTTAGAAAGAACTAAATCTATTAAATAGATTATTTATATAGAATATAAATATAGAAAGATTCTTATAATTAGATAAGTAAAGAAATAAGAATTCTTTATAAGAAGATAAAAGAGATTTAAAAGTTTTATAATTAAGCTTAGTTATAATAAAGCCTATTAATTTAAAACTCTACTATATTCTCGTAGATTATAGCTATTTAATATCTAAAATAATAAAAGTAAAGTAGTAATAATTCTCGAGATAAAGAGATATCGTTAGATACGTATACTTGAGATTCGCTATAAAAAGATATTTATACCTTAAATTCGAAAGATTATTATACATCTTAAAGCTAAGTTTTATATAGATTTTTAGAAGATCTTTCTTAATACGAGAATAATTAAATATAATTCTCGACTTATTCTAAGAAGTAGAATTATCTACTTTATCGATTATTATAGCATAGATATTTTACTATAAAAGCCTTTTATTAATAGATTTCATAAGCTTATAAATACCTTTATTAAGATCTTTCTAAATAATCTTTCTTAGTTATTACTCGATATAAATAAGTTATTATTTCTAAATAATATTAGAAGCTAGCCTTATATTAGATATAACTCGTATTTAATATAAGATAAGATTTATATAAGAAAGATTTATAAGATTTATATTATTAAGATAACGATAGTAATATAATAACGTAAGAACTTAAAGTCTAGTAATCTTCGAAGAAATAAGTAATTCTAATATAAGTTTTATAGATTTTATTTAATATTTTAGAGTCGTAGATAATATACTAGTCGAAATACTTAGATATAAAATTAGCTTACTAGAATAAAGAGATTTATATAACTTAATAGATTTCGTATTAATCTAAGAAATATAAGAATAATAAAGTAAATTAAATATACTAAGAGAATTAATAGATTAATTAAACTTACTAATAGAAAACGAATTATAATTATTAATTAATAAGGTCTTATAAGAAACTTCGAGATTCTTATTATAATTATAGTTATAATTATAATAATAGACTTTTATAAGCAAAGCTTTTAATAAACTCTTACTAGAAAATCGTATATATTCTTAAGATTTAATTAATTTCGAGTTATACTAAGAACTTAGCGAAAAAGCGTTATAGAATTCTTAATATTCTCGATATTATTACTCTTATTAGAAGAAGAATTAAAAGAAGAAGTATTATTATTATTAAACTCGATAGCTTCGATTTAAGAAATAGTAGACTTCGAATATATAAGAAGATTATAATCTTTATAGAATATAAATTATAAGTTTATAATAGTACGAATCTATTCTCTAATATCGATATTATTAATAATAATCTTAGACTAATATATAAATATTATAATATTTACTAAATAAAGCTATAAAATCTCGAGAATTAAATTTAAATATTTAATCTCTTTAGTAATAGTAGTATAAAATAGCTTAGAAGTAATAAAATATTAAATATCTCGAATAATTCCCTTAACTATTAGACGTAACTAGATCTAGTAATATAGAATAATCTTATAATAATTAGTAGTATATATAGAGAAGCTCTTAAAGCTAACTTCTTCGAGTAAGCGAAGCTATAGAATAAGAAATCGAATAAATTCTATCGATATTATATTTATATCGAATTCTTAATTCGTCTAAATAAACTTCTTATTAAGAGTTATTATAATATTATTAGATTTAGAAATAGTATAGAGAATATAAAAGGCTTTATTAACTTCTATTATATTAGATAGAAAACGAATAT